TTCCGTTTGCCTTTGTGTCTCCTTCTTTGGAAGTAACTGGACTATATTTGCTAGTTCATGTCCACACTTAGATGATATTCAGGAAAGGCCCTAGTGTATGACTGAGTAAACACATTGGAGGTATATGTATGTGACTTGTTGACCAATAGTCACATAAAATAATATAGCTAACATTTATTGAGCACTTACTATATGCAGACACATCAGTGATTGCATTTAACACTTTAAAACAGCCCTGAGAGTTAGATGTCGCGATTTAGGTGACATGTGGCATTCCGACTGAACCCCAGTCTAACACCTCAAGAGCGTGTCTGTTCTGCTCTGTCTTACTCCACTGTGTTCAGCACATCCATTGTGGGCCTGCATTTCTTATCCTGACATAAAGGGGTGTCTGCGTAGCTGATTTGAAGACTTCCATGCGCAGCATTTTCTGAGTCTGACTCTGCTGGGAAAACCGTCTCCCTGCGAGAGTCCTCTCTGTCCACCACCACGCCCCGGCCTTCCTCCCCTGCCGGCCATCATCTTCTCGTTGGCAGTGCTTCGGCTGTGGGCCACCCCAGCAGCATGGGAAGTCCCCGTGGAAAGCCACAGGGGGCTTTGTGCACAGAGGCTGAGAGGCTGCGCCTGAGGGCTGGGCCGCTGGGCCGGACGGTGCAGAGGCGCCCGAGGGGCCAGCAGGCGCTCGCTGCGCTGACTCGGCGGCGTGGGAGCTCACGGCCGTAACCTATTCGAGACGGGAATCCAGAGTAGCTCGTGACCCACTCTCGGCACGCTGAGTGCTGTGTGCCGTTCCCAGACACTAAAACTACCGCTGTTTCCACGGGTTTGGTGTGGAGCAAAGTCTGCGTTCGCCTGGAACAGGGACCTTCCCGTTCGAAGTGGGGAGAGCCTTCCCACCAGAGCTGCTGAGCCTAGGAAACGCCGTCCGGAGGCGCTCAGACTGCGTCTGCACGTCGAGAAACTGGGGTGAGGTCACGTCCCGGCGGCTGCTGCTGCTGCTACGGGCTTCTCGCTACGCAGTGTGATTCTGGTTGAGCCCCACGAGGCAGCGGCGGGACGCCGGGGAAGATTATCTGAAGCCTGAGCCGCGCATGGGTTCCGATGCGCAGGAAGAAGGGCAGTTAACTGGGCCAGGGCCGGCGTGGGGGTGGCCAGGAGCATTCCAGACGGGAACGAGGTGTGCAAAGGCCACCTGGGGGGACAGGCGCCAGGGTGCGAGGACAGCAGGGTGGACGGAGCACACGGGCGAAGGGGGCCAGCCCACCAGGCAGGGCCTCTGGGCATGCGGGGCTGGACCCCAAGACGCTGTGACATGGTCAGAGCTGTGTTTGAAGATGAAAATGTGGGCCAGTCCTGTGCATACGATTGGGAGACGTTCAGGGAAACAAAAGGTATGTGTTCAGAAAGGGAGGCGAGGGGTCTGGCTCGGCTTCCTCCCCGCTGTGACCCCACCGTCGTTCTGGCAGCCAGGACAGCCTCACTGCTGACTCAGCCCCGAGGTCTCCGGTCAGCCGGCCTGGGAGAGGAGGGCTGGGCCCTGCGGATCTGGAGGACGCGGACACCGCAGTGCCGGGCACGTCGCCCTCACCCTGCAGTAGCTGCGCTGCCTTATGACGGCTCTGGCTGGCCCAGGGGTCCTGCCCTCACCCGAGTACTGGGAAACCTTGCTGGTCTTAGAGCGAGATTCGCGGTCTCGTGGCTGCACTGATGGGAAGCAGTGTCCTTTCCGTGGCGGACCGTGTCCCTGGAGTGCAGGGGCGGTGGGCCGGGGGACGCTGTGCTCCCTTCCCAGGCTAAGAGGCCGTTGCCGTGTACCGGGCTCGCTGCCCGTCACAGAGCATTCAAGACTGGACGTAGGCATCATGGGATACCCCTGGATTTCTGCCCCAAACTGAAAGCCACCCCAGCCCTGGAGCTCCCCACCCGAGCCTGTGGGCAGGAGGAGCCGCCGGGCTCAGACAGGGCTTCTGCTTTACGTGCCCTGCTTTTCCTGGGGGTGGGGCAGTGAGGACGCACAGCGTGGGCGATGGCGAGCACTAGCTCGCACAGTGGAGAGGCCCCAGGTAAGAGTGTGATGTCACATCTGCACGTTAATGCCCTGAGAGGCAGGAAAGAACATTACTTTCCAGTTAGGGTGAGAACTGGACTTGAGTTCCTGGCAGGCCACTTGTCCGCGCGCTACCACCAGGCTGACTCGCGAGGTCAGCCCGTGTCCGAGAGCCTTCACAAAAAGCACGTTATCCCTGGGAGATGGGCCTGGGCCTCCCCGCCCAGGAGCCGTCGCTGAGAGCCTGGAGTGGACAGCACGTTATCCCTGGGAGATGGGCCTGGGCCTCCCCGCCCAGGAGCCGTCGCTGAGAGCCTGGAGTGGACGGCACGTTATCCCTGGGAGATGGGCCTGGGCCTCCCCGCCCAGGAGCCGTCGCTGAGAGCCTGGAGTGGACGGCACGTTACCCCTGGGAGATGGGCCTGGGCCTCCCCGCCCAGGAGCCGTCGCGGAGAGCCTGGAGTGGACGGCACGTTATCCCTGGGAGATGGGCCTGGGCCTCCCCGCCCAGGAGCCGTCGCGGAGAGCCTGGAGTGGACGGCACGTTATCCCTGGGAGATGGGCCTGGGCCTCCCCGCCCAGGAGCCGTCGCGGAGAGCCTGGAGTGGACGGCTTTCTGGCATTGATGTGTGAACGCACGGAGCGAACAGTAAACGAACAGAATGCGATACCGATGGGTTCACCACAGGGAGAAAACGTGTCTGTGGCTGAACGTGAGTCGTAATCAAGGTCACCTGTTCAGTGGGTCCCCTCTGAGAGCCCGCCCCCTTCCTTCCGCTGGAGTTCTTTGGGGAGAAAACCTGGTGAGCTGCGTGCATCTTGAGTGTGGGCCGGCCCTCTGGCCGCCGCGGTGGTGGGCCCTGGAGATGCCAGTCACAGAGGCCCGGGTCTGCAGCCTTGGGCAGTGTGTCCCAGGGGAGGAGAGGGCCTTCGGCTGAACAAGTAATTAAAATTGCTGAGGGCTCCCAGCGATGCTTAGGAGGAAAACTTGTGCCTCCCGACAGTGCTGCCATCCAGACAGCCCGTGACCCAGTGCGGTGCTTGGCGACCGTGCTCTGTGGCTCGCCCTCCGTTACCGGGCGACACGCAGCTGAGACGGGCGAGGGCCCCTCAGGCAGGAGGCATCATCCAGCCAGAGCAGAGCGCCCACGTCTGCCGTCATCCATCACGCTGACCCTTTCAGAGGAGGTCGGGACAGCGCGTCCCCCCTCCAGAGGTCTGCGTCTGCGCACCCCCGCCCGAGGGCTCTGCGGCCTCCCTCAGCCCGGGAGCCCCGTCTCGCAGTGACCCCCTGGCAGCTAAGGGCGAGACATGAAGCATCACCTTCTAAGTGGCAGCTGCTGTGTCCTCGGGAAGTCAGGGACACTGCTGAGCTTGGAGCCGACGAGAAAATAATTTAGTGATTAGGGACCCCTTGGAGGTGTGGGTCGTGTCCTCGGGCCTGAAGAGACTCCAGCAGCCGAGGGAGGCCTGCTCGGATGGCATCTGCCCTGGCCCTTGAAGCCCACGCTGAGTGTGGGAGGGAGCCCAGCACGAGTGAGAGGATCCAGGGGCCAGAACCCTCAGAGCCCACCCCCGGCTCCGCACGCTGAGGAACCACACGCCCCTGCTCCCAGGCTGCTGCTTCCCGAGGCCAGCGTGGCCATGGAGTGTCCAGGGCCCGAGGACATTTCTGTGGGCTTGACGGTGACCTTTCAGCATCAGAATGCAGATAACCTATTTCAATCACATTTAAATTTGGTACGAATAGGAGTTGATGCCAGGTAGCTGGGACAGGGTCCCGGCTGCCGGGTGACATTTCTCCCGTCCTGCCCTGTGGCGGAGGCGCAGCAGGTGAGGGCACCTCCCCGTGCCCTGAGCCCTGGAGGAGGCCGCCCGCAGTCGCGGTGCCGCGTGTGCTTTGCGCGGGCGCCTGCGGAGCAGCAGGGAGCTGGGGCAGAGGCTTCGGCAGAGGCCCCGTGCTCCTGGTGCTGTGCTCGCAGCGCCTCGGCCTCTGTGCCCGCACTGAGCAGGGCTTGGCACACAGCGGCAGTCAAGCTGGGAGTGTGTGTGGAGGTTGCAGTGTGAACTGTTCTTAGCTCCAGAGTGGGGTGTAAATGTCATTGATCTTCCATTAACGAGTGATTGGTGCGCCCCTGTGTGGTGCCCGCCTGGGTGTCGTCCCCAGAGCTGTCCCGCCAGTGTGCCATGTGCTGGGAACCTTTTGAGAAGCCGTCTCCTGTGGCGAGGGCCCTGGCACAACAGACGGGAGAAGTGCAGGCCAAGGCTCTGCACCTGCAGGAGCCATCTGTAAAAGAGCCCCCTCTCCACCGCTGCGTTTCCGGGCAGCTTGGGCCACTCCGGCAGCGCTCCAGAGCCCGATGGACCACACTGCATGTCTGGGCAGCTTGGGTCACTCTGGCAGCTCTCCAGAGCCCGATGGACCGCACTGCATTTCCGGGGCAGCTTGGGCCACTCCGGCAGCGCTCCAGAGCCCGATGGACCGCACTGCATGTCCGGGCAGCTTGGGCCACTCCGGCAGCTCTCCAGAGCCCGATGGACCGCGCTGCATTTCTTCAGTCCCAGTGAAGGCAGAGCCCAAGGCCCGAGGGATGGGATGGAGCAGGGTTTGGGGACAGATGAGTCTGTTCCCAAAAAGGACCTGGGGACTCAGCTCTGTGAGGTCTGAGTCCCACTCACTTCCTCCCCTCACTTGCTTTGCTAGACACCATTTCAAGGACGTGTTCACTCATGTCCCAGCGCCCGGTTTTCCTGGGGGAGGGGAGTTGGTGCTCACCTAGTCAGGGGAGTCTTTGGGGAGTGGTCTGGTCACAGCCTGTGCAAGAGAGTTGGCCTGTGGAGAGGCTAGGATTTGGAGTCAGGGAGCCCTGGAACCGCTGCCCGAGACCCCAGGGGCAAAGCGTCCCAGTCTCTCGCTGTCGGGGACAGTGACCAGGCTCTGTGTTTCCCGCAGGTCACCTGCTCGTCAGCATGGCCACTACACACCTGGAGAACCAGCTGCACAGCGCGCAGAAGAACCTCCTGCTGCTGCAGCGGGAGCACGCCAGCACACTCTCCGGCCTGCACGCCGAGATCCGGCGGCTGCAGCAACGCTGCACAGGTGCCTGGGCCGCCGCCTTGGGGAGGGCCTGCAGAGCACACCTGTCTCCAGGGCAGCGAGGGCAGCCCATCACCGTGGGGGCCGCTGCGGGCCGCATCCCTGCTGCACAGCCAGCTCCTGCGCACTGCACTCAGATCGAGACGCAGTGGTCAGAGTGCGTCTTGGAACCAGTGACAAAGCGTAACGTAGCAGAGCAGGCTGCTCACTAGGTGGGAGTGTCCTGGGGAAGGAGGGCCCCGCGGACCCTGGAAGGACAGGGCGCCAGTAGCTCCCGCCCTTACGCTCGCCTCTGACCCTGAGCTGACCGGCAGGACTCGCCGGCGATCAGTTGTGCATTCTCAGAGCTGAACAAGTTTTTATGTGCCCTGTGACCACACAGAATTAACGTCTGTCGCTTGCTTTTCAGATTTAACATACGAGCTGACACTCAAAAGTTCGGAACAGACAGGTAAGAACTCTGTCCCGGAAAGTGGGTGACGCTCGCCTCCTGCCGCTGCCGCTGCCGCTTCTCACGGTCACACGCTTGGGAGCACACACGTGCCCTGAAGAGCTGACCGTGTGGCCAGAGCTCCGAGAAGCGGTGGAGGGGGGTTTGCACCCGGGGGTGTCCCGAGGGGTCATGGGGCACGAGGAATGCCTGTCTCCTTTCTCCTGATTGACACGTATCTGGAGGCTCTGAGTTTCTGCAGTGAGTCCGTGCTCCCTCCGTACCTGAGAACCGTGATTTACACAGAGGGAGAGGGGCAGGGCCCCCCGCAGAGCTGTGCTCGCCAAGTACGGTTGAGGGATTGTCGGTCACGGGGTAGCTCCCGAATGTCCTTGAGCATCTGCCTTAACGCCAGTCCCAGAAATGCTTCCCCTCGGCCAGAATCCTCAGGACCCCAGTGGTATCGGCCTGAGGCCTGTCAGACAGGCTGCTCCCCGACAGGGTGGGTGCAGGGTGCAGAGTCCGCACGCGCCTCCAGAGGGCTCCGTGCGCACAGCCTTGCTCGTGCTGCCAGCCTCGTGCCATCTCCGTGGCTCCGCACGGCCAAGCGCCGGGCCTGCCCTGTTTTCCTCGGAGTTCAGTCTCCTAAGTGCGCTTTCCAGGAGCCAAGACGGGTGTCTGCTGTGGTGGAGGCGGTGCCTGGGAAGCAGAGCCCGCCCTCAGGTCTCCCTGCAGAGGAAGGAAGCCAGGAGCCCACCCCACCCTGCAGTGCTGGGGCCAGAAACTGGGCCTCCAGGGATTCAGAACAAGGCACCTCCAGTCAGACCCCCAGCCCACACCCCTGCCATCCGAGCCACAGAGCGCAGGGCATCCTCACGTCCTGTGCCCTCCTGGCCCCGGCTACTCCATCTCAGCCCTAAGTCCCAAGGCCACGCCTCACCTCTCCGCCCTGGTCAGTGGCGGGGGGCTGGTGGAGGTGGTGGGTGTGAGAGCCTCGCAGGTGGCCCCGGAGGGGCCTCTGGCCTCCAGGGTGAAAATCCCTGCTGCACGTGCGCGCACAGCCCACCCGCAGCTCTGGGGACACGGGTGGACCCTCCCTGCCTCCGGCGGGCCCTCCACGCCCTGTGCTTGTTCCAGGGGACGCGCCTTCCAGCAGCAGCGAGCTGCAGAGGAGGTGCCAGGAGCTGGAAGCTCAGCTGAGAGCCAAGGAGCAGGAGCACGAGGAGCTGCTGCGGGAGCTGGAGCAGAAGAACGCGGCGGTCACGGTGCTGGAGCACACCGTCAAGGAGCGGGAGAAGAGGTACCTGGAGGAGCTGAAGGTGAAGAGCCACAAGCTGAACATGCTGGCGGGCGAGCTGGAGCAGCGCGCGGGCACCGTCGCCTACCTGACCGCCCAGCTGCACGCCGCCAAGAGGAAGCTCCTCAGCTCCAGCGGGACCTCGGACGGCAGCCCCTCCGGGAGCCCCGTGCTGGCTGGCTACAAGCCCGCCCCGCCCAGGGACAAGCTGCCTGAAACGCCGCGCCGCCGCATGAAAAAGAGCCTCTCCGCCCCCCTGCACCCCGAATTTGATGAGGTCTACAGATTTGGGGCCGAGAGCCGGAAACTCCTGCTGCGGGAGCCGGTGGATGCCATGCCGGACCCCACCCCTTTCCTGCTGGCCAGGGAGTCGGCCGAGGTCCACCTCATCAAGGAGAGGCCCCTGGTCATCCCCCCCATCGCTTCCGACCGCACCTCGGGCGAGCAGCACGGCCCAGCCCGCGAGAAGCAGCACAAGGTCCACGTGGGCGTGGCGCACCGCATCCACCACGCCGCCCAGCCGCAGGCCCAGCCCGAGGTGGAGACGCTGGCAGTTGACCAGGTGAACGGAGGCAAGGTTGTCAGGAAGAACTCGGGGACGGACAGAACCGTGTGAGCCTGCCGGGCAGCCCTCACCCTCAGCTGTCCATGCACTGTGATCAACACTAGAAAAAATCATCCATCCACACCTCTTTTTTTGTTTTCATGCCAAATTTTTTTCAGACCTGCCGAGACTCCGCCCCTCCCGCCCAGGCCGCCTCACTCCAGAGCTGTCCCTGCTGCAGGCACCTGCTCACTGCCGCTCGGCCCAGCACCTGCGTGCGGAGGGCCGGCTTCTCACCCACCGCGCACCATGTTGCTGAGATCAGATAGCACACCTCCAAGGCACCCCGCCCCCAGACCCATGACCTCCTGACAGCCTCCCAGGGCGCCTGAAGAGCAGGTGTGTGTCACAGGAACTAAATAAGATGACGTTCTCGAGTCGCCACAACCTGAATGTGTGTTCCTATTTTTTGTTAGTTTTATCCAAAATGTTCAAGATCCCAACAAACTTTATTTTCTAAACCTGCCTCCTTTCTGCTCCGTGTCTTTATTAAACCAGCTGAGGGAGGGGAAGACAGCGGGGCCTCCTCATACCTGCTGGGTTCTCACCCAGACAGTGGGCTCGCCCAGGAGCACGGCTGTGAGTGGGTGTGGGGGTCACTTCCGAGAAGAGGAGTCCCCTGTCCTCCCCACTGCCCAGAGCTGCCCCTTGGAGCACTCTGCGGCTCTGAGGCTCTGCAAAGCCACCTCTGCTGTGCCCGGCCCTCCCTCGCAGAGTGAGCCACCCTCGCCTCTAGTCAGGCCTGGCCAGGGCTCCAGGCTGGGCCCTGCTGTGCAGAGGGAGGGACGCCCAGCAGCCCCGGGCCTGCAGGCTGAGTCCACACAGCCCCACACAGGCCCGGGCAGGGCGGGGCAGCAGCTCATGCAGGAATTGGGGGGGGGGGGGCGGTGCAACAGAGACAGAAAAGGGGCCAGGGGGTTCTGGCAGGAGAAGGTGTCTCTGGGTGATGGGGGCACCACCTCGGTTCTGTGCCCAGCACCGGCAGCCCAGGGAAGGGGGCTCTGCCTGACCCAGCCGGCAGCCCAGGCTTCTGCCCACACCTCAGGACACAGCTCTTGCCCCAAGAGGCATCTGCGGAATCAGACCTAGGTTATCAAATCCGCACCTTTGAAATTTTCCATTAGCATTCCTACTTGGGCCAGTGCCATGCCAGGCACTTCTGCTTAATCTAGTATCTCCTCTAGAAGAAGAAAAACTCAACATCCTAAAATGCTGCCCTTTAGAATTTACTTTTTTTGACTTCTTAAAACATAGCTTCAAAAACAAAACCATGCAGGTTAGCTGACACTGAACAAGGTAAAAATGGCTGATTTCAAATGAAAGGGGATCAGCCCCTCCTGCCTCTCGAGAGGCCCCGAGAAATGACAGGAGGCTTGACTGCTCCTCACGAGCCCTTCTCCGGAGGGTCAGTCAGAATTCAGGGTGAGGCACACCCCTTGCAGCACCCAGTGAGAAATGTGCTTCGTGGTGAAGAGGTCGGCTTCAAACACCAAGCCGACCCCCATGGCATTCCTTCTGGTGGAGGTGGTGTAGACGGGCGTCCGGAAGGTGTTCTGCAAAGGGGAGGCAGGTGAGAAGTCCCATGCAGAGGAGCGGCCCCCCACGGAGCGGGGTGGGTGGAGCCTCGGCTCAGTGCTCAGAGCAGCGGCCTCCCCAAGGCTGTCCAAGCAGAGCGTGGCCCAGGCTCTGCAGGTGGCTGTGCGGGGCCCTCCGCTGCCTCGGCGTGGGCACACTGCTTCAAAGCAGAGCGAGGCGTGCTGCTCACACCAGGTGCACTAGGGCGCAAGCACTGCCCGAGAACTCTCACGAGAAGCCAGGAGGGTCTCCTGTGGCTGCCTGGACCCCAGCTCCTGACCTTGAACATGCCACCTGCAGTCTATGCTCACGGGTGTCGTGCATTTTCCTGGGCAGTGACACCGCGCTGGCACTATGCCTCGTGGCTCCCCCGCCCCCGGAAGGTTAAGCTCGGGTAACTGCAGCCGAAGGGCAGGAAATGGGCGGCCCTCACCTGCAGCTTGAGGCGGTGGGCTTCAATGGGGATGATCTTCAGGACCGGCAGGTCGACAACCAGCACCTTGGGCTTGCTCTTGGTGAGGCAGCCTCTCTCTAGGTCCCAGCCAGCACCTTCCAGGTACAGGCCTGACACGAAGCAGCCTGGAGGAGCCAGAGAGCCATTCTGCTGCCCACGGCTCTCGCAGGCGGACATGTCGGACAAGCCGCGGTCCCGGAACCTCCTCCGTGAACCCCTCAGAGCTCAAGAGGGCGCCTGCGCTCACAGACGGCACCCCCCTGGGCGGCGGCCCGCCGCAGTCTGCAGTCGGCGACCGGTGTGGACAGCGCACTGCGCTAGAGCCCGATCTAATGGTTCCCATCTAGCCCACCCTCTCTGCTCCCAGGCCCTGGGCCCTCGGGGTTTCCAGGGAGGCCACTGGGGACCCAGCTCTCTGAAAGATCCGATTCTGTCCCAGGAACCCGTTTCAGACAAACGAGCCCAGTGAGCCCGGTTCAGGTCTCCCTGACATCACCCATGTCTCAGGAGAAAATAGTGAGAAACATGCTCCCCTTCGGAGGTGTCAGGACGTGGACGGAGCACAGACGCAGCCCATGTGCAGCCCGTGACTTGGGAATGGCCTGGCACTCAGCTCTCACGATGCTCCCCTCCCTTGGAATCGGGGTGGCTTGGGCGGGTGGGGGCCCTACATGAGAGGCTGTGGACCCATGAGGGCTCACCGTACCCTGTCCTGCCCGCTCGGTCACTTCATCTGCATCTTGGAACTTGGTCACTAGCGTGAACAAGGTGGAGCGGTCCAGGGGCCAGCTGTTCCTCCGGCAGGTGGCCTGCACCAGGGCCGTGAGGTAGGACTCCGGGACGTGCAGCCCTGAGAGCCACATCACGCTGGGCTCACCCTCGGTGACCTGGAGGGGAGGGTGGCAGCTGCCATCCAGTGTCCGCGTCAAAGCTGACCAGACACTGAGTTCATGTCAAAGGAGTAGTTCGCCGCCTGGCCGGTGTGGCTCAGTGGCTGAGTGCTGACCCTGCACCAAGAGGTCACTGGTTCAGTTCCCAGTCAGGGCACATGCCCAGGCTGTGGGCCCGATCCCCAGTGGGGGGCGTGCAGGAGGCGGCCAGTCGACGTTCTCTCTCATCAATGTCTCTCTCTCTCTCCCTCTCCCTAAAAATCAATAAAGGGGGGGGAAAAAAAGACGTAGCTCGCGTTAGTGGCAGGAAGATGGGCTTGGGACAACTGGTGACCATTTGGGAACAGCAGGCTGGGACACGCGGTCAGGCTTGGGACACGCTGGCCGGCACAGCACCGGTTTCCTTGACATGCAAAGAAAGCACTCGTAAAAATCAACTTTAAAAGATGGAGAACTCAATAAAAACGAAACCAAAACACAAAAAGACAATTCACAGAAAAAGTAACACGAGCCCAAAGAGTCGCGGGTTCAGTTCCGGTCAAGGGCACGTACCTCGGTTGCAGGTCGTCCCCGGCCCTGGTCGGGGTCATGCGGGAGGCAGTCAGTCGGTGTCTCTCTCTCTCCCCCTCTATCTCTCCCTCCTACTCTATCTGAAGATAAATGGGGAAAAAATATCCTTGGGTGAGGGTTATAAAAACATAAAGTCACACGAAATGTAAAATGCACCAGGCCTCACCATAAGCGAAGACATGCACACCAGACAGTTACGTGTCATGTTTACCGATCGGGGAGGGAAGGTTCAGACCATCAAGAACACAGTGCTGTGCACAGTGAGGGTCACCAACCCCATCTGCTCTGCCTCAGCTCCTCCAGACGAGGGCTGTCAGAATGCAAAATGCACACAGATCCGGCTTCCCGCAGAAATGCACCCACGGAGCATGCTCATGTGAGCCCAGACACGTACCCTGGGGGCTGTCGCTTGTGCCAGCAAAGGACAGACGGGAAACCCAATGGCAGCCCCCTAGCCGTCCCCAAGTGGGAAGGACACGGGCGCCTGTAGGGTGGAGAAGCCCGGGAAGAATGAGGTGGGTCTAGAGGGCTGAGATGGAAGAGCGGCCGAGACTCACTGCGCAGACCGAGCTGCGCACAGGATGCTGGTCCCGAAAGCAAAGCAGGAGAGGAGGGAAGACGCAGATGCGCTCAGAGTCAGAGGCCGTTCCCAGAGCCAACCCTCCGCTGCGGGGCCAGACCGCGCCGGCCCGGGGCTCGCCTTACCCACGACGTGTACTGGGCGAACCGCCGCAGGAAGTAGAGCATCCAGTTTCCGAGGGACTTGAGGGTGTCAGGCGCGAGCTTCCTCCAGATGTTCGGGATCTGCCCGATGAACAGAGCCTTGGCGACATCGTCCAACTCGCTGCTCATTCCAACCTCTCCAGCCAAGGCCTGTGGCAGACCAAGAGGCAGGCCGGTCAGCAAGCCAGGCTCCACGTCAGGCGGGCACCTGCGTGGCGGGAACACTCACCTTCTGCAGCTCGGCCAGAGAGCGGGACATGCGGACGACGAGCTTGTTGAAGCGCTCCAGCTCCTGCAGGAGCACCACCGACGTGGGGGAGATGCCCATCCCCAGGTGCTTCCGGACCAGGTCCAAGTCAAAGACCTTGGGCATTTTGTTTTCTATGTCCATGGCCACCTGGCCAATGTAGTCATCTCGGCTGATGCCACTGCTCGATTCGCCTAAGAGCAGGACCCTTGTTAGGAAAGCAGGCACCCGAGCGTGGGACGGGGGCACCCTGGGCCTTCTGGCGTTTGGAAAGGCGTCACCAACTGGAAACTCCAGGGGCCAACACCAGCACCTGCACTGACACCGTCAGCCCTCACTTCGCCCTCCCAGGGGACCTCACCTGTCTGAGGCTGCAGCTCCAGCAGGTGCACCCAGATGTCCCGAGCGGCCTGAGTATAATAGCCGATCTCGGCGTTGGAATGAAGACCGAACACCTCAGGTGTGTTGGCCAGGGGGAGGGCCTCGATGGCTTCTGCAATCACAGGCAGCAGGCAGGTCACACAGCACGCTGCCCTCCACTCTGCACACGCAGACTAGTTTCCAGGGCTCAGGGCCATGTTTTCACTAGAATTGCGCACCAGGGCCCGGCCAGCTCTGTGTCCATCCGCTATGAGAACGGCTAGTGGGCTTCGTGGGGCCGCTTCGTCCTTCCAGACGTGTGTGCCTCACTCCAGGACGGGAGGCCCGAACAAACCCCATCCGCTCTGAGGCCGGATGAGCCCGGGACAGACCACCCGCCAGCCAAGGAGCCCCGGCGAGGAGACAGGAGAGCCCTCCAGCCAACCGGGAAGCAGGGCAGCTGAGCAGTGTGGGCCCCCTTAGACGAGACTTGGGGACGTCAAAGGAGCTCACCAACGAATCTCTCCTTCACGTCGCCAGAGGGGATCCTGTAGTCCACCTCGCTGTTGTGGAAGAAGTGGAAGGGCTGGAAGGTGTCGAAGATGAAGTCTCCCAGGTACTCGTCCATGTAGATGGTCAGGATGCGCCGGTCGAAGCTGTCGATGGCCCGCCCTCCGTACATGACCTGGAGGTACAGAGAGCGGGAGCCAGAGACTTCGTATCAAGGAAGCAGCAGAGCAGGACGCCAGCAGCCACTTCCGTCTCTGCAACGGCGTGCAGGCCGCAGGGACAGCCGTCCCATGAGGCCTGTGCAAGTCTCGGTCTCTGGTGTGGACACTCACACCCACCGAACAGGAGCCAGGCTCCGCGACAGGCCCAAGGCGCGGCCAGGCGGGCACAGCTGCCTCTCAGAGAGCACGGGCCTCGGCAGTGGACCCAGAACCCCCACGTGGATGGGGCTCGCTGAGGACAAAGACACTGGGCCCCGGGATGACGGGCGGGAGGAGCAAGAGGGGAGTCGTCCGGCACCGGGCACCCCGCAGCCCTCCTACCTCTCCAATCAGGTACTTGAGGCTGCCCCACGGGATCCGAGGGTCACTTTGCTGGAAGGCTTTGGTCAAGTACGTGTTCAAAATTTCCATGCAGACCTTCAGAGGGGAGGAACAGGCTCAGCGGTCGGCAAGCCCACGGAGACTGACGCTCCGACTCCTGTGAGACGTGGACTTGGGAGCACGGGCGGGGGCGGCGTTCCTGGGAGAGGCAGCGGCCGCGCGCACCTGGAAGTCGGACTCGTTGAAGTCGTAGGACACGTTCCACCCGATCTTCCCGAACTTCCTCCTCTCCTGCACCACGGCGTGGAAGAAGGCCAGCACGTAGACCAGGGGCTTGAAGGCGGGGTGAGGGCACCGGTCCAGCATTTCGTTGGAGATCTTGAAGTACGTCGCCCTCATGTTGAGCTTCAGCCCGTTGGGCGGCTCTGTGACCACCTGCAGAGGGGAGGCAGATGGTGGTGGGGCCGCAGGCTGCAGCCAGCTCTGAAGAGTACGCAAAGGGGGACCCTGGCTTCCCTCCACCTTTCCGAGGCCGTCTTCGTCCCCGAGTAGCGACCGTCCCTGGTTCAGGGCCTAAGGACCCGGGTGCTCTGCTCAGAAGCTCTGCCACGGGCTCTGCGCACGGCCCGGAGAGGGCCCCTCCACTCCCTCTGAAGCCCTGCAAACCTCTGCACAGAGCAGGGCTGGGGGCTGCAGTGGAGACGGTCTGTCTGCTGAACGCAGTCGGCGCACACGAAGTGGTGGGGCCGGGCTGGGGCGTTACTGCCACCGATGACGGTCCCCCAGTTTGGGGCAGTGCTTATCTCTGAAGGGGGAGGGAGGCACAGAACTGGGAGGGTGTCTGGAGGTCTCACCACATCCTGGGTTTGTCTGCAAACACGCACACACACACGCACACGCGGCAAACGGTAGTGAGCCGAGGAACTGGGCTGTGGGTGTGCAGTGTTCGTCCGGAAGCAGACCTTCAAGGACTTCTGCAGAATCCCGATGGGGAAGCCCTTGGTGGGGTCCGTGGTGAGCCACAGGCGGAAGTCTGGGTGGGGCTTGGTGATCCTCTCCAGGGACTTCTCCAGGTCCTTCAGCCACTTGACCAGGAGATGGCAGTTCTGCAGCATCAGCCACTGCCCACGAGCCACCGCAGTCTCCAGCTGCTGCAGAGCCAGCTGCCGGGAAGAAGGGAGGGCTGTGTCCTGGTGCCCGCCAGCCCGCGCCCCAGAGACCCGCTCCAGCCCCCGTCAGCGAGGGCCCTCCCCAGCCGAAGCTGGAGACCCAGGAGCTGCAGGGGAGCCTGGGAAGGAACACACTTTGGATTCCCTCAGGGCCCTCTGTGCACTGGGCTGGTCACGGCCTGGAAGACAGGGAGCATCTTAGCCTCCCTCAATGGCCTCCTTGGCCCAAAGAGCTCCAGCTTCTCCAACACTGTCGCCTCTGGTCCTGGGCTGCTTCCCTGCCCCACACTGGGGGTGCTGCAGGGGTAGGAGGTGACTGGGTGGAAGGGCTTTGAGAAGAACAGCACGCACTGGCCCGCACAGCCGGGCAGCCAACCGGGAAGGCTGGACCCAGAACCACACCGCCCTCATCGCTGCCGTGCGCCAGCCTTGCTCACAGCTCCGCAGACGCCGCACCCGGAGCCGGGGTGGAGCAGCCCTGCCGGCTTAAAACCAGGCGCTGCCCCTCCCTCACGGGCGGGCTCACCCAGTGTGAGCTGTTCCTGCGACACACTACCTTTTCTTGGCCTTGACCCATGGCGAGGAATTTGAGGCGGTTTCCCCCAAAACCAGAGCGCTCTGCTAGTTTCATCAGGTCGCTGGCAGGGTCGGAGCCGGGGCTCAGGATGAACACGATGGGCGAGTTCGGGGTGCTCTGCTCGAAGATGGCCTCGAAGCTGACCATCGGGGGCTGCACGTATCTGGGGAGAGCACGTTCTCCCAGAGTCAGGGGCTCCCGAGGCAGCTCCAGGCCCGGCGGCCGTCTGACCGGTGGCCTCTCCGTGTCCATCCCCCAGGACCGCCCGTCTCGAGCTCGCTGTGCCGCCTGTCTGCACACCTCGGGCGCTGGACGGCGGGCTCCGGAGTGACGCGGCCTCCGCGTCCCTTCAGCACAGCTCGAGCAGCTGCGCGGGCTTTCAGAGACCGTGAGCTGGGCACTCCGAGCGGAGGCCCTGGGCCGCCCCCCCGGGGACAGCCTCTGGCCCCGGCCACGGGCTCCACAGGGACAGCCCCCAGGCACACCCGGAGTGGCTCACACCTCAACATTTAAAACAATTAGTTGCTGCCCTGGCCAATTTGGCTCAGAGGTTAGAGCGTCGGCCCGCGGGCCAATGAGTCCCGGGTTCGATTCTGGTCAAGGGCATGTACCTTGGTTGCAGTTCATCCCGGGCCCTGGTCGGGGTCATGCGGGAGGCAACCAGTCAATGTATCTCTCTCTCATCAATGTTTCTTTCTCCCTCTCTCCCACTCTGTCTGAAGAAAAATGGAAAAATGTCCTCAGGTGAGGACTTAAAAATAAAATTAGTTGCCAACACACAAGGATTGGGAGAATCTACATTTCTAGCTTCTTCGGAAGAGTCAGAGGGTCGGGGGGTCCCACTGCCACCTGGCATTGGGCAGCAGGGGTGCGGGGCAGCCGCCAGGCGTCACGTGACCTCTCCCCTAGCCTGGCAGGCCCCACCCAGCTCTGTTCGCTGCCTCCCACCCCTGCAGGCCAGGGAGGCAGCTCCAAGTCCGCACCCAGCTTATCCATCTGGCTGCACAGGGTCCGGAGCTGGTGTCCGACACGGCAGCCACCGGGCACATGTGGCTATCGGGCACTTGAGGTGTGGCTGGTCCGACTGAGGTGAGCATTAGGTATGGATTCACACAGGACTTTAAATCCTTAATACCAAGCAGTATGCAAACTCTGCTTTCAAGTGATCCCATGTGGAAATAATATTTTAATACGTTGACTTCAATACAGCATGTTACTAAATTGCACGTGTCTGACGACATCACACGTCTCTCTCTTTCTCTAGAACTCTGCCATCCTGGAGTGGCTCTCGCGCAAGGCTCCAAGCGGAGCTGGACCACCCCTGCCGTCTGAGCCCCGGGGGGGACGGCCCCGCGGAAAGGGCCAAGCCTACACAGACGCCACACTTACTTCTCTCCCACGGTCATAGTCACGTAGTCGGTCACGGCCCGATAGACCCGATCCACCCGGAAACAGCGCAGAATAAGCAACTTCTGGAAAGCGGTGATGTTGTCGTCATACTCCAGGGGGAACGGGAACTGCTCCAGCGAGTCCAGGTCGTACCACTACAGAGAGCAGGGCAGGCCCGTGGCCTGTGCGGTGAGGCCCCGAGCCCACGGGAAGGCCCCGGCAGCCGCTGTGGAGGAGGAAGTCGGCCCTCTCTCTCCCCCGCACTGCGCTTCGGGACGGGAAGGCTGGGGTCTCAGTCCCCCAGTGCCCACCAAGGGACATGGCCCTCGGCAGATGCACAGGAAGTATTTCTTGGGTGCTGGCTGGATGCGTGGATGGGTGGGTGGGTGGGTGGGAGGAAGGACGGATAGACGGAAGGCCAGACGGTCCTCCCACCAAGCCAGCTGAACTACATACAGAAGAATTCCATCCAGGGAACGAGGGCACTGCTTGCTCTGAATGGGTCACTCAAGGAGTGATCTTCACACTCACAAGGAGTCAGGTACAGTTTGAGTTTGGACCTTAGACACGTAGGGAAGGGAAGGGGGGAAGAGAACATGAGCTCACCTCCTGCCAGACAGACGGATGCTTCTCAAGGTCGTCAGGAAGACTCCCAAACCGGCTTGGGAACATCTCTGATAAGAGCATGATGTCTTCCCAGCCCTGGTCAGGCAACCAAGCACAGGGCTTCTTTCGTTTGTTTTTCTCCAGGGAAATGTTTCCTAATCACATCGGGGAAGAAGAGTCAACAGCCGACCTCAACGTACCAGGAGGAGGCAGCTCTGTGCTTGGACTTCCCTCCTTTTGGGGACCATTTGTGACTCTGACCGGCCCCTCAGCGCGGCCCCCAGCCCCGGGCGGCCTGTGCCAGCCCGGCAGCTCCCAGCAAACCAGAACCACGTCCGAGGTGGCAGCCGAGACATGTAACAAGTGAGGCGGGAAGCCGCGTTCTTGGGAGAACTCTGGCTGTGTGTGTTTTCATGAACTAGTTTGTATGCGTGCCACTGCCACAGGGCACACCCATCATCTTTTATTTTTATTTATTTATTTATCCATCCTCACCCGAGGACATTTTTGCATTCATCTTCAGATAGACGGGAGGGAGAGAGGGAGGAAGAGAGAGAAGAGAAACATCAACGTGAAAGGGACACATCGAGTGGCTGCCACCCACATGACCCAACCAGGGCCGGGGACAAACTGCAATCGAGGTACGTGCCCTTAGCGGGAACCGAACCCGGGTCTCTCCAGACCGCAGGCCGACGCTCTAACCGCTGAGCCAAACCGGCCAGGGCAAATTCATTACCTTTTAGAAAGAAGTCTAGCTCTTCCTGGGGAACTCTCCCTTCTGCTTGTTCGATCTTGATCGTCATGTTGAAGGCAAAGAGTAACTTGTGCCTCTCGAACAACCCTGGAGAGCGATGGACAGAAAGTGGCCTTTAGCCATGTCAACACTAAGTGTCCTCTGCACCGCGTGCTCACGCGCGGGAACTGCGACGGACACCCAGACGGCACGGCTGCACGCGGCCCTCCACGCCTCAAGTCCACGACTACCTTGGTGCAAAAATGTGGGCTCACCGTCCGTGTCATGCCCAATGTGCATGGCTGTGTTCTGATAACGCGTGCTTGTCACGGCAGGCGGTGGCCACAGACGCCTGCCCGCAGGACGTACAGTGTCTGCTGCAAAGGAAGCCCCGTCCACCCCGACTCCCCTGATGGGAGGGGCGGCACGCCCACCTTCTCTCACTAACAGCAGAAATGCGTCCCTGGAAAACGCTGACCAGTCAAAAGCTGTGACCTGAATTGTGCTTTGTGTGTGTTAGAGGGTTGGCTACTTAAGTGGGCCCTGCACGGACAGCAGTCCTTAACCCTCCTCCTGCCCAAATGAAATGGGCTGGATTCTGCCCCCTCAGAGCTGGGGGGAGCCCCGAGCCCAGGAGCTCAGGGTGTGGCTGCGTGGGAGACTGAGCCTCCAGAGCGGGGCTGGGTTAAAACGAGGCCACGAGGCGAGCCCCGAGCCAACCTGAAGTTTGGACCAAGACCCCAGCGGCGCACACACAGAGCCTGTGGTCCTAGTCAGTGCGGAGGCCTGACCTGTGCAACCATAGTTATAGATGTTGAAGGTCAGCGTGTCCATTATGTTCCTCAGCCGCTTCATGAGAATGGAGTCAGGCAGCGACTTCTTGAGCGACAGCCCGAAGACCTCGAGGAAGGCGCTCAGGGAGTACTGGTACATGGCGTTCACGAGCGCCATCTCCGACAGCACGAAGAACAGGATGGCGCCCCGCCGCGCCGCCGGCCGGTAGCCATCCCGCAGTCTGTCAATGTCCAGGGCCGTCTTCTCTGCCAGCTTGAGCTTCTCCGACACCTAAGGAAAAGGAGCACGTGTCCAAGGAAACAGGAAGACTGATACCCGTGACCGAGGGGACAATGAAGCGGGCAAGGAAGAAGGCAGAGGGCAGGAGTGAGGTGGGGCAGCAAGAAGAAAAACAGGCGATGTTCACAGGGGCTGGGCACCCGCCCTCTCTCGAGACGTGGGGGCGTCCGTGGCTTCATTCCACTGCACCTTCTTCTAACAGTCCCTGTATTTCACTTGGAGACTCATCGCTTCCCCATTTCGTTCCACATGTGGGTCTGCACCCCAACTCCAGGAAAGAAGCATGTGACGGAGGCCCAACCAATCCACGTAATACTCCCCCAGGCCACGGGACTGCTTTGGGGTGAGCATGTGACTTAAATGACTCTCGAGACATACATGATAGGGACAGGCAAAGATTCTCACTCTTCCCTTTGGACTTGAACCTGAAAGGACATGAGGCCAGACCCACCTTGAGACCACAGGAGGAGCTTGGCCCCGTGGGGAGGCTGAGAATGATGCCACCCCAGCAGAAGGCCCAGACCAAAAATGGAAAGGAACTGAGTCTTGATGATATGCTTGGGGTCCTGGATCCAGCCCAACCTGAAGCCAGCTGTTTTCTAAGCCGGTAAGTTCCTTTTGACTTAAGCCAGGTAGAGGTGGGTTTTTCATTCCTCTAAAGTGAAAGAGGCTGACCTAGAGCACAAGGGGCCTGGGAACCTTTGGGATACCCTCCCCACGGCACACCCCAATAGAGGTGGCCATTTCTCATCAGGCAAACCTCAGGTGACTCAAAGCCCGAGTCTAACGAGGACACAGGCTGATGTCCTCCCACCCCAAACCCTCCGATTCTAAGACCATGAATGAGGCCCAGGTCACGGAGTCTAATTTCCTCCTGGAGCAGCTGTGGACATGGGCTCCTGGCTCAGCGCATTTCCTGCACAGCCGATACCTCCGTGGCCTTGGACTTGGTCTCCTCCAGGGTGTGCACCAGCTCCACGTTGTCCAGCATGTTCCCCGTGGAGGTCGCCAGCTCCCGAAGGAGGGAGTCCTCCAGGTCCTTCAGCAGGTTCTTGTTCTCGCTCGTCTCCTGGATGAGGTGCTCCCTCTGCTCCTCCAGCTCGCGCCTCTCGAAGGCCACCAGCACGCTCAGCAGCTGGTCCTCCAGGCCCTTCAGGGTGACTGCGGGGACAGGGAGGCCCTCACTGCTGCGTCTGCTGCTGACAAGCCGAGGGTGGGTCGGAGCCAGCATCTCAGGAACAACTCACACTCCTGACAAAATTACTCTGAAGCCACAAGGTGAAGTGTCAGAGCAAAATGGGGACGCTGCCCTGCAGAGGGGTGGACAGAGGGCAGAGGCACCACAGAAAGTCCAGGGCTCCGCACCCTGGAGAACCCCAGCTGGAAGCACACCCACTACTAATGACCCTGTTTAAGGACCTACCTGGAGACCCTTGCAAATGCAGCAAGTGGCGTTCGATCGCTACACAGGTCAGCATGCAGCACACACACACACAGAACTTCCTGCGCTGCAGGGGCGCCCTCCCTCCGCGTGAGAACGCTGAGCCCCGGCCCAGGCAGCACGCTCTTCCTAGGTGTCGCTGCATCGCTAAGAACTAACGTCAGCCCGGCCCATGTGGCTCAGAGGGTTGAGTGTCATCCCGCGGACCGAGAGGTCCTGGTCCGAGTCCTGATCAGGCACAGGCCCAGGTTGTGGGCTCAATCCCCACTAGGGGGTGTGCAGGAGGCAGCTGATCGATGTTTCTCTCTCTATATAAAAAACTAAATTAAAAAAAAAGAGAGAGAGAATTGACCAGTTAAGCCCTGGCCAGTTTGGCTCAGCACTTAGTGTCGGCTCTCAGACTAAAGGGTCTCGGGTTCAATTCCTGGTCAAGGGCATGTACCTGGGTTGCAGGTTCAATCCCCAGCCTCTCTCTCTCTCCCTCCCAACCTCCCTCCCTTCCACTCTATCTAAAAAAAATCAATGGGAAAAAAAAAAAAGAATTGATCAGTTAAGGTGTGACAGAGAATGATCTGGAGTTACTGAATGAAATGACATCTGGTAAAAGCCTTGATCTCAGACCGTGGTCTCCATGGCAACCACCGTAATTTGACCATGGGGTTCTGCAGTCCTTACCAGTGTAATTGATCACCATGGCCTTCCCGAACACAGATGGGGTGTACTGGGGGTTGGCCAGCTTGGTGGTTAGATAGAGCCTGAAACTGGAGTCGTAGTCCACCTCCTTGTCTCCTAGGATGATGAACTGCCGACCCTGGGAGACTTTGATGCTCTTTTCCAGGACGTTGTCAATCACAGGGTCGATGTACTCATCCACGTCATGGAACAGGAAGGGAGTCCCGTACTTTATGGACATCTCCAGCTGCTTGAGGAAGTCGGGGTCGTTAAAGGAGGCCACCTGGAGGACAAGGGAGGCAGGTGCTGAGGGTTGGCCCATTTGCCGCACGTAAGGGGAGCACGGAAATGTGCATTTAACCCTCTCCCCCCTGCTCCCCTGAGTCCTCACGACGCTGGGCCCCTGAGAGCCCGCACGTGAGGGGAGCACGGAAATGTGCACCTGACCCTCTTCCCCGCTTCCCTGAGGCCTCAAGACGCTGCGCCCCTGAGAGCCCGCACATAAGGGGACACGGAAATGTGCACCTGACCCTCTTCCCCGCTTCCCTGAGGCCTCAAGACGCTGCGCCCCTGAGAGCCCGCACGTAAGGGGACACGGAAATGTGCACCTGACCCTCTTCCCCGCTTCCCTGAGGCCTCAAGACGCTGCGCCCCTGAGAGCCCCGCACGCCGGCGCAAGGGCTCCGCCTCGTCCTTGTCTCCGCGCTGTCATGGCACCGACCTCCTCTCCCCATAGGTTGAACCCTCCTTCGTTAAGGGACGGGACGGGAGTGGGAGGGGCCCGCAGGGGGCTGCAGCCTGAACGGTGGGCTGAGGGTGAGGGCCGCTGAGGGCCGTAAGCAGGAGAGGCGGCGGCTCCCCTGACCTTGGAATGCAAGCGGGCCTCCCCCAGCCGCAGGAGGAGGTAAAAGTCAAAGTCATGGATTTGTGGATGATTTCAGCCGAGTGAGTGGGCCCCAGCAACCTCACCCGAGAAAATATGAAAGCACATTTGCCCCAGAAGTAACGCGTACATGAGTGTTCTCAGCAGCCCTCTCCACAATGGCCAAAAACTGAAAAAAGCCACGTGTTCATCGACGGGTGGGCGCGTAAGTGAGGCCCGTGGTCCAGGGGACTGTTACCCGGCCACGGGCGGGAGTGAAGCACTGGCACCTGCTACAGGGTGGATGGACCTCGAGAACATGGTGCTGAGTGGCAGAAGCCAGGCACAGAAGGCCACATATCACGTGATCCCACTCACGTGAAATGTCAGACAGGAATCCACAGAGACAGAAATATATTAGTGACGCCAGAGGTTGTGGCGATGGAAGAACTGGGGGGCGGATGATGACAGCTAAAGGACACAGCATTCCCTTTGGGGGTGACTCTGACTCTGGTCATTGTTACACAACTCTGTAAATACACTGAAAACCACTGAACTGCTCGTCTTAAACAGGCGAATCGTGCGGTGTGAATATAGCCTAACCAAGCCCTCTCCCCCTCCCTTCCAAAACAGTGGCTGAGCCCCGAAGCCACGCCTGCACGTGGAGGGGACGCGAGGATGAGCAGCGCACCAAACGGGGGCTCAGGGCGCACCAAACGGGGGCTCAGGGCGCACCAAACGGGGGCTCAGGGCGCACCAAACGGGGGCTCAGGGCGGTACTCTCAGCTGGGCGTGCTGGAGGCCAGGGAGAGGGGTGGGGCGGCCGTGCCCTGGGGGCAGAGAGGGCGGGGACCCCAGGGAGGCGCTGTACCCGCAGGTTGTTCTTCTCCTCCCTTCTCTTTATCCAGTTGAGGGCCTGCTGCTGGGGGTCGATGCAGAGCGGAAAGCGGCTGGCCCGGGTGGTGAGGATGCCGTTCTGAATGGAGAGCTCGTCGGGGGGCAGTCCCTGGGAGCCCCACCTGGAAGGCACAGTGACAGGAAAACCCATTTTTCGTGCTGGTCGTGAACCCAGGATTAAGGGTGCTAGTGCCGGCCTTCCAGAACCACCTACCAATCCCGAGACTGCTCAACGCTCCCCAGAGCCCGGAGCTGGACCTGCAGCGCACCCCATGTTGTGCCCACCAGGGCGATACCTACGGGGCCCCAGTCCGCGGCACCCCTGTCCTTCGGGCTCAGGGTGCGCACCTGCTGATCTCCACGTCATCTGTGAGCAGGCTCTCCAACCGAAACGGCTGGCTCAGCGGGATCCCGCGCTCCAGGATGTCACTCTGCCAGACCTGGCTGACCATCTGGTGGCGGAACTCCCAGGTGAAGGCGCCCTCGTAGCTCAGGAAGGCCGCGCACAGCAGGCAGTCCCCGCGCAGCTTCACCCGCCGGTGCATGAGCTCGTCCAGGTCCTTCAGCCACCTGCGCGGGGCAGTGGGCTGCGGTCAGCACCTACCTTCCCGCACGCTCCCAAGGAACGTTCTAGAAAACCAGCTGGACCTGTGCTAATAGGGCTGCCGGGAAGGAAACCGTGTTTGAATACTCTTCTTTTAGAGACTTCCAGCTTATCTTGCCTCTTCCCCCTGGACAAGCCCGATGTTTGAGAACTCTGACTTCCAAGGCTCCGCAGAACCTACGCCAGCAGGGCCTCCCTCAGAGACGTCTGTGGGGAGCACGGGGTCTCCGAGACGTGCTGAGCGGCACGCGCTGTCTGCGGACGCTCACTAACACTCGGCGGCGCGCCCAGCAGCGCTCCCGCGCTCGGGTCCTGCGTGGGGACAGTCCCGCCCACGGTGACCGCGGGTTTCACTTGGCCTCTTCTGGTGACTGCAAGGTCTTTCGGGTGTGAGGAGTGTCGAGTGCGGTCTGTCCCCAAAGCAGACGACCTGCCCCACACCATGCTCGCAGGAGCCGAGCAGAGACGACCTCACGCCAGAGGAAGGGCTGGAGCCAGTGTCGCCCACGGGCATCACGCAGGCCCGTCCACCAGAGACAGACGCTCAGGCCTGACCCAGCCACAGCGTCCTGCGAGACACATCCCGAAGGGGCTCAGGACTAGAGGTCACTGAGCACTATGTTCCCAGGACGGAGACGCCTCACAGGAGGCCGCTGGTTTCTCCGTCCCCACGGCTGCTCTGCCGCCGTCACCCTTCGCATCACTTGATGACAGACACACCACGACTAGTGAACTCGCGCTGTGCCGGGGCCACCAGCCGCCTCAGACATGGCCGCGGCAGATCGGACGCCCTCTCCCGCTCTCGGGAAACGCAGCACAGACCCCGCCCGCGCAGAGCCACCCGCAGGGCCCCTGCAGCAAGCTGACCTGATGTTCTCGGACCCCAGCCCCGAGATGAGCTTGTCGGCCGCGATCAGCCGGCGCTCCATGATTTCCGCTTCCTCCTGCAGCTTCTGCCTCTCCAGGATGGCCGCCTCGTACGTGGCGCCCAGGGCCTCCAGCTCCCTCTGGAGCGCTGCCAGCTCGTTCTGGATCTTCTCTAGCTCGCGTTTCGTGAGGTGGAAGTGCCGCTCCAGCCGGGCCACCTGATGGAAGGCAATTCGCAGAGGTCGGGAAAGGCCCCCGGTGGGGCGGGGACAAGACGGCCTCACACTGGGCTGGGTCCACTCCCCATGTCTGACCAGGTCTGGGCGCTGGGGCACCACAGCCACAGCGAGGCACACGCGTCTCCTCTCAGCCACCTCCTCGGGGGTCTGCTGCGAGAGCCCCCGTGCCCTGAGAAAAAGATGCCCCGCACCCCAGGTGGAGGCGGCCATTCTCCACGTGTGCAGGTCACAGCAAGGGGACTCTGTGGCTCTAAGTCGGAAAGCCAGAGGGATGCACTGAAGACGGCACAGGCCTCCCGCTGGTGTCTGAGGGGTCTGGGTAGTGACGTTCTGAATCAGAGCCATGTCGGAAGATGCTCAGAATGACAGCGGGAAGCCCGTGGTTCTCCTCGCATCACGGGTTCCACGTTCCTTCCACCCCTGGATCCCCACTGGGCCGACTCTGCCCCCAGGGACACAGGACAACGCCTGGGACAGTTTTAGCTGCTGAAACTTGGGGGCAGGGACAATGGCATCTAGAGGCCAGGATGCTGCTAAATAGTGCACGGGATGCCCCCCTGACAAAGACTCCCCGGCCCCAGACGTCAGTCGCTCCGAGGTCGAGACGCTGCTTCTGCCCTAGACAACGATCCCGAAGTCTCTGACCCTGCTCTAGGACCTTTCGGACCTAGTTTCTGTCAGCTCCCATCATGTCCAAATGAGAGCTGTAATTCACGGTCATTATTTACTGGGGGAAATGTCTATGGGGCTCAAAGTCAGAACCTTGCTGGAATTCTTCCGGCAAGCTGTGGACACGTCAACTCCTCTCCAAACTGGCCCCTCGGCGGCAGTGTGAGCGTCGCGCGGACCAGCCGTACCTTCTCCCTCTTGGGCTTGATCTCTCGGAACACGTCGCAGTAGCCCATGACGGCCTCGACGAACTTCAGCATGCCCAGGCCCGCTCTGCTCACCGCTTCCATCTCTTCGGCCGTGGTGTTGAGGTTCCGCAAGAGGCCTGGGGGTCAGACAGCGGCGTCAGAGAGCCGCCCGCTTCGTCTGGGCAGACAGAACGGGAAATAGATTGCCCGTGGACAAGGGTGAGCAGTTCCCTATTCCTCCGTCACCCGTGAGGGGGCCAGAAGGCTGTCCCATGGCAACAGAGGGTCCAACCCCAAGTGAGTTTTATGTGAGCGGAGCAGCCTATGACCCCACAGGACAGCCAGCAGCCCAAGGCTCAGAGCAGAGAGCCGACTCGGAGGGACCCTAGGCCATTTCGGGTCACCACCACCTTTACCGCGCCCTCCCCCTGGAGCAACCTCACATCCAGTCAACGTCAGGTAAAGACAGCCCCTCAGGTGCTGTAGCTGCTGTTACTCTGTGTGTTTCACTTAGTTTTGTTCAAAGCGGCTGCACAAGAGCCTTTGAGGACCGAGTCCCAAACAACGTCGGGGTCGACAGCGATGCTGCGACTCGCACTGTGTGTTGTCACCATTCCACTGGCTCAGCGCCTGGGCAGGGCAGGGCAGGCTAAAGGGGATGTGGGTATTCTGTCACGGAAGGCAGAGGGGCTGGCCGTGGGTGGGCCATCTCCTCCTCCACGTCCTCCCCCAGTGCCCTGCGAAGACTATACTGGCAAGAGGGGGCGTCAAGGGTTAACCCACCTCCAGACGCCACCATGCCTATCAGTGCAGCAAGGGAGGCTGGTCTGAGTTCCGTGAGAAGGGCCTGTCTCCTTCCAGGGGGAACCAGAGCCACTGTGGAATCGCTCAGCCCAGGCAGCATCCACCCTCCCGGCTCATGTCATATGCTACCTCTTCCTCTGGGAACCCCATCCCAGCCACGCCATCCGCAGCACTTGGTGCTGCCGTGTGACCACACAGGAGGGTCTGCCTGCCACAAGCCCCCTCCTGGCCCTCCATCCCTGCCCCCAAGACTGAGAAGACAAGTTAACCATGACCCCGGCCATACTACATTGTCTCTCCTCACTTCTGATATTCTTGACTTGGCTCTGGGTAATGGAATCGAAGTCCATCTCCATCAGCGACCGCAGGAAGTTCGGGTCAGACATCATGCCTTTGGCGGTCTTCCAGTTGAGCTCCTTGTACCCCTTCATGATGAGGATGCACTCGCACACTGTCTGCACCTGCTTCGGGGGCTTGGCGAAGGACCTGGCGAGAAACGGAAGTGGGGTGTGGCCAGGAGCTGGCCTGAACGAGCTGCAGAGCACACGGCTTGCTCTGGAGCTGGCCTGCGAGGTGGTGTGTGGGGGCAGAGGGAGCCATGTCCCAGCACGGACTCAGGTGCCCGGGGGCGAGACTCTCCAAGGGCAGGTTTGCAGTCTCCTCCACTGGGTGCCAGCCCAGCCTCCTGGAACCTGACTGGCATCAGAATCATAGCGGGTGTCATTAAAATGCAAACCCAGGCCACCCCATGTGTCTCAATCAGTAGCTCAGGGTGGAGCCTGAGAATCTGCATTTTTAATTAGACCCTGGTGTAATTCCTCAGACTCAGTGGTAGCACTGTCATTATTACCATCACCATCTCACCATCATCACCACCACCACCATCACCATCACTATCATCATCATAACCATGTTCACCACCATCACCACCATCACCACCATCACCACCACCATCACCACCATCACCACCACCATCACCATCATCATCACCATCACTATCATCATCATAACCATGTTCACCATCATCATCACCATCACCATCATCACCATCATTACCCCCACCATCATCACCATCACTATCATCACCATCATCACCATCACCACCATCACCACCACCATCACCATCATCACCACCACCATCACCATCATCATCACCATCACTATCATCATCATAACCATGTTCACCATCATCATCACCATCATCACCATCACTATCATCATCATAACCATGATCACCGCCATTACCGCCGCCACCACCACCACCACCACCACCACCATCACCATTGTCACCATAACAGCTCATTTGATCCTCACAACAACTCTGATGTTGTGGGAACAATTTTTATCATCCACATTTTACAAACAAGAAAACTGCAGCACAGAGAGGTTAGGTGACTTGCCAAAGGTCACACAGCCAGTAAGAAGTGAAGCCATGCAGAAACATATTACCTTTTTAAAAAGTACTCCTTTTAGGGGTGAGCTGGGTGCCTGTCTCACACCTGTCTCAGGGTGACACAGGTACACCCTCTAATGGCAGGGAACACACATCAACCTCTCCACGTGGACCTGTGGAAACCACCTCCCCCTCGCGTTTTGGAGGACTCACAGCCCCCTCCCTCCAAATGAATTCTCTTCAAACTCCTTCCCAACTCTACTCTCACAAGGTCTTCATGATGCTGGCTTGGGAGCGGTGCCCAAAATGCACGTAAGCAGTAGCTGGACACCCCCCAGGCAATGTGCCCGCACAGCTGGGTCTGCATCTCTACTTCGCTCTGGCACCGCAGTGTGAGCTCCCAGCACAGGTCACTGCCATCTCACCGTCACTGGGACCACACCGCACAACTCGGCAGTGACGACTCCCTCCCAACAGTGGCATCCGCCGGCCTGCAAACAGCGCCAGGCCCGGCTCTGGAACAGCTACGCGTTCACTGATGAGCAGCAAGGGCACAGCCTTCAACAGAGAAGCTGCTCAGCCCTCAGAAGGGAGAGCCAGCGCCATTTCACCAGGACCACATAACGGAGTCACTGCCTGCCTGCGACCAGGGGTCTCTCCCGGGAGACCCGGCAGAGCACAGAGCCCGTCTGCAAACGAGGACACGATGGGGAGTGAGGAGAGAGCTGAGCTCCCTGAACCACTGCGACGTGTGTGGGGTCAGCAGCACAGAGACAGGGACAGGTGGACAGGACGGTGTTTCTTCCTGTTTCACCCACGGTGCTGACTTCCCCAGCGGGATTCCGTCAGCAGCGCCCGAGGGAGATCACGCCACATGGGGAAGAGCCGCCTGCTCACCCACACCAGCCCCTCTTCCTGACAGCACATGAGCCCTCTGGATGCAGGGGAAGGAGACATTTCACAGACTCATTTGCAAGGTGTCTGGGGCCACAACAAAGACCCATACTCTCCCCTCGGCGGGCAAGCCCACCTGGCGAGTAAGGATGAGAGCATCTCCACGGTCCCCTGCTGCTGACAGCTCCCTTCATGAGGAGGATGCACTCGCACTCTGGCCCTGCCCCCAGTGCATGCCCGTCAAGAGGACGGACGCGCAAAGCTCCACGACACCCTCGCAGCCCGAGCTGGAGCCCAGTGTCCTTGTGCAAGCCGGCTTTGGTTCAAGGCCAGCAGATCCTGCCACCTGCCAGCTGAGGGCCTGGGGCAGGCCACCTCGCCTCCCTGGACCCCACTTCCCTCGTTTTCAAAGGAAAACAGTAACAGTCCCCACCATGGAATGTGCCTAGCACAGTGACCAGCGCATGGTGAGGCTCCGTAAAGGCTGCACTGCCACGGTTATCACAGTTGCTTTCCGCAGTCACTCTGGGGACAAGCAGAGTTGGAAACGGCCATTGGTACCTGATCTCGGTCACATCCGACTTGTCCAGCTTCTGCAGCTCCAGCTTGGCGGCCTCCAGAATGGGCATGACCTCCGCCAGGGCGGTCTCGGCCTCGGCCTTCTCCAGCGCGATGATCTTGTTCTGCTCCTCTATCTCCATGGCTTTTTCTTCTGCCAACTTCTTCTTTTCCTCCGCTGCGGCAGGGGAGAGGTCATGAAGCTACTGGTGCCGGGAAGATGGACCGAGCTTTGGCCAGCACGGTGGCCTCAGGTGCTCCACAGAAGTCCTCATGGCACACCTGATCTCCAACACCCGCCATGTCCCACCCACTGCAGTCCCTGGACACCCCTAGGCCTGCTTGGCCAATGTGGCCGAGGACTCCAGGCTGCCCCCTCCCTGTTTCTGGCTCACTAGACCTCTCTGCCTTTTCAACACCTTTTCCGATGTTCTTTCGGGCCCAGCTCAAAAGGCCCCTGAGGCGGCCTGCCCTCTGCGGCTCTCGGTCTCATCTCTGCGTATCTGCCTCGCCACAGACCACGACCTGAGCGTGCACCTCTTCCCTGGCCTGCTGGCTGTCTGGTTCCGCCCACTGCACACCAGCATCTCCCGAGGGCTGTGGCTCCAGGGTCAGAATAGGGCCTGGCTCATAGTAGGTGTACTGGGTTGGATACGGCTCATAGTAGGTGTACTGGGTTGGATACTGCTCATAGTAGGTGTACTGGGTTGGATACAGCTCATAGTAGGTGTACTGGGTTGGATACTGCTCATAGTAGGTGTACTGGGTTGGATACGGCTCATAGTAGGTGTACTGGGTTGGATACGGCTCATAGTAGGTGTACTGGGTTGGATACGGCTCATAGTAGGTGTACTGGGTTGGATACTGCTCATAGTAGGTGTACTGGGTTGGATACGGCTCATAGTAGGTGTACTGGGTTGGATACGGCTCATAGTAGGTGTACTGGGTTGGATACGGCTCATAGTAGGTGTACTGGGTTGGATACTGCTCATAGTAGGTGTACTGGGTTGGATACAGCTCATAGTAGGTGTACTGGGTTGGATACTGCTCATAGTAGGTGTACTGGGTTGAATACTGCTGCCTCAAATTTTTAAAGGCTCCCCCAGAACCTCAGAATGTCACCTTATTTGGAAAGAGTATCTTTGTAGATGTAATTAGTTAACATGAGGTCATCCTGGATTAAAGTGGGCCCTAAATCCAATGACTGTGTCCTTTTAAGAAGGCCATGTGAGGACAGAGACACAGAGGGAAGGAGGTCCTGTGACATGAAGGCAGAGGTTGGAGTGGTGCATCTATAAGCCAAAGCATGCCCAGGACTGCTGACCACCAGAGCTGGGGAGACGAGGCAGGGGCCTCCCTGAAGCCTTTGGGGGGAGCCCAGCCCTGCTGACTCCTTCACTGCAGACTTCCAGCCGCCAGAGCAGAGAGAGAGTAAATGTCTATTTTCTAAGGCAATAAATACAGCAGGTGTTCAGTAAATGAATGCTGAATTCACTAGCATCTCCCAACGTGGCGTGCTCTCGGGATTAATTTTCACAGTCAACAAACGGACACTAATGGAGTGTCTGCAGTGGACAGAGAGACATTTCCACTCAGGTCAAACACTTAAGCCACTAGCTCAGGGCCCTCATGTGCAGGGTCTCCAGGATCACTAGGGGCTAGACACAAGCTCTGGGCCCTCATGTGCAGGGTCTCCATGATCACTAAGGGCTGGACACTAGCTCTGGGCCCTCATGTGCAGAGTCTCCATGATCACTAAGGGCTGGACACTAGCTCTGGGCCCTCATGTGCAGGGTCTCCATGATCACTAGGGGCTGGACACTAGCTCTGGGCCCTCATGTGCAGGGTCTCCATGATCACTAGGGGCTGGACACTAGCTCTGGGCCCTCATGTGCAGGGTCTCCATGATCACTAAGGGCTGGACACTAGCTCTGGGCCCTCATGTGCAGGGTCTCCATGATCACTAGGGGCTGGACACTAGCTCAGGAAAGACGGCCATCGAAGGGTCGAGGCGCCACGCTCGCCACCTACAGTGCTTCCCGGGGACGTCTCCCAGTGGGGCCTAGTCCCGCGGTGAGTGGGTGCCCCGCCCCCAGGGCTGGTCCCACGCGTGCCTATGGCCTTGTTGGAGATGATCTCCTCCAGCAGGGCCTCGCAGGCGGTGGACTTCTCGGCCAGCACGACCTTCTGCTCGGCCAGCTTCTGGTTCAGCTCGTCGAGCTGGATGGTGGCCTCCTTCAGCTTGTCCAGCCCGCCCTCCAGACGCTTGCACTGAGCTGAGGAAGGACAGCAGTACTCACCAGCGAGTGGGTGCCACCCCAGCACACCCAGGTGAGCATCCCAGTGGCCTCGATGCGTCTGGCCAACCCGGGCTCCCCGGGGGAGTCATTCCCGTGAGATGTCAAGCATCGCTCTGCCCCTCCAATGCCGTGCTGGGACAGCACCAACCAAAATGAACGTATTTCTAAAACAGCCTTCATTTAGCCAAGAGCCAGAGCACTTTTTAAAAAGCATTTTCCAACAAAAATGTGTGAAAGGCCCTGACCGGTGTGGCTCAGTTGGCTGGGCATTGTCCTGTGCACTAAAAGGTCACTGGTTCGACTCCTGGTCGGGGCACAAGCCCGGGGTGCCGTCTCAATCCCGGGGAGGGGGCGTGCAGGAGGCAGCCAATCGATGTTTCGCTCTCACATCGATGTTTCTCTTTCCCTCTCTCTTCCTCTCTTTCTAAAAATCAATAAAAAAATAATTTTTTTTTAAAGTGTAAAAGGACTAAAACCAAAATTTAGGTAGACATTAACTATAAGCTAAAATTTTAGGAGCGATTTAAAATTTTCCTCCCGTATTTCTGGTTATATTTTTTTATCTTTCTACAATATGTAAATGACTTGTGGAATTTTTTAAAGGCTCATATTTCTTCAATAACTAAATGAAAGTATTAAAAAGCAAAAGCTTGTTCCAACAGAGCACATTGCTGCTATCAAATATCTCTAACACGATGACAATTTAGCGATAAGAAAGTTCACAGCCCAACACAGAAACATAACAGCAAGGGCGTGCCAGGCCCTGCCACACAGGAGAACCCCTCTGAAATGCAAAACCCGAACTGAGTCTCGCGTTGCCTCGATCCCAATACATCTGACCTCACTGAGAAACATCTGCTCCAAGGAAAGGTCGGCGTTTGGATCGCCATAAATCATAACCATTTCTGTTAACCACTTGTTCCTGTCTTACCTATATTATACTGAGTTTTCTCATCCAGTAATTTCGAGTAGGTGTTAATGAAATCAAGGTAATTCTTGGGAGTTACATAGTTGCTGCGCCTCAACTTCTGCAGAAACTGTTTGCTGAATTCACCCACGGATTGGTGGACCAAAACCACGTGTGCTACCAGGTCCTCAATATTTTCTGCTTGGATCATGGAATTATTCCCTAAAGAGGAAGGAAGGAAAAACGTGCCTCTTAAAGACAGGAAAAGAGCAGTTCCTCAAAAAGTTGAATACAGAATCCCCGAAGGAGCCAACAATTCCGCTCCTAGGTATGCACCCAGAAGGACTGAAGAACGGACACAAGCACATTCTCATGTGCCCATGTTCACAACAGCACTAGTCACAGCAGCCGAAGCAGAAGTGACCCAAGTGTCCGTCAACAGATGACGGACACACGAAATGTGGTCCATCCACACAGTGGAAGGCTGCTCAGCCCTCCAGAGGAAGGGATGCCTGCCCTCTGCCACACTGGGATAACCCTCGGAAACACGCTCAATGAGAGATGCCAAGCACAAACCAACAAGCGCTGCATGACTTGACTTCCATGAAACACCTAGAACAGGCAGACTCATAGAGACAGAAAGCAGAATAGCGGTTACCAGGACCAGGGGGAGGGGGCAGGGACAGGGCATCGGGGTTGAATGAGACCGAGTTTCAGCGGCACAAGAGGAAAACAGTTCAGGACATGGATGGCGGTGGTGGTCGCACAACAATGCGAATGTACTGAATGCCACTGAATTGTCTGCTTAAAAATAGTTAAAATGGCAAATTTCATGTTCTATATATTTTATGACAATGAAAAAGACATGAACTGACTTGCTCTCTTATTTCGAAGACAAAAATTAACAACCACGGCTTAAGGTATTTGAGACCGTGAAGGGAATTCAGAGCTGACTGACCGTCAGTTCACCGAATGCCCTCCTCCAGGCGCCCTTTGGCCTGGGGTCAGCACAGTTTCCATAAGGAGTCCGACAGGAAGTGTGTGGCTTTCAGACTACATGGCCTCTCCTGTGATTACTCAGCTTTCGGTTGTAGCACAGAAGCAGCCATAGACGGTGTGTTTAGGAGCGAGTGAGTCTGTGTTCCAATAAAACTTTATTAACCACAACAAGCAGTGGGCTGCATTTGGCCTACAGGCCATGGTTTGCCAACTCCTGCTTTAAATGATACCTAATCAGTTGTTATCCTAAAGTGTGCTTGTCAGTCCTCTGGAATCTCTGGGGACTAAAACACAATATAAACTAAATAAACTAATAAAAACCAATCATGATCATGGGGGGTTAACAGTGAAGGAATCTACTGGACCAAAATTCAAAGTCGAAGAAGTGATAACAAATTGTGTTGTTGTAGCATTAATGTGGTCCCCACATTAGTGACACTTACCTAGAAATGACTTGGCAACTGCATGCAGGGCCTGGGGAGGCCAGGGCATGAACCAGTCAATGCCGGTGTTATTCACTAGACCTTGAAAACAAAGAGATGCACCAGATGACCCCTGTGCAACCCAAGACACTCAACACTGACACCACCTCCGGTGCCCAAGACGCATCACCAACAGCAGGTTTCTCAGCCTCAGCACTGCTGATGCCGGGGCCGAGAGTCCTGTGTGGGCAGTCTGTGCGCTGTAGGAGGCTTGGCAGCGGCCCTGGCCTCTGTCAACAAGACATCAGCAGTATCCTTGCCCCCTCTCCCCCCGACAACCAGAAACGCCCAGGACACTGCACCTTCCACAGGGCTGGCACACTTCTCCCAGCTGGAAGGGAGCAGAGAATGCTGCTGAACTCACTACGGGCCTTGCCTCAGGGGCACCACCCACCGTGGACAACACGAGGGTCTGCTGGCAACTGTGAGGGCAGAGCGGGGCTCACCCTACACTGCAGAGTCGTTTTCAACCCAACGACATGTCGTGTGTACCCTGCTGGTGGGACCTCGAGTCGGGCATTGCCCGCCAAGGCACACGCCCTGCTGAAGGGGGAACGCGGATTCGCTCAGCTCAGCTCAAGCGCACCTGGGAAATTTCTGCACCAGGTCCTCAGGGTGTCCCCTACAGGCGACATGCCCAGGACGATGTGCAGGTTATCGGCACTCTTGTTCACGAAGTACTGCCACACGGACTCCTTGGCCGGGCTCACCCCTTGCTTCAAGGCTTCTTGCCCGATCTGACCGAGGACAGACTCTTTCTCATCCTCTTGGAAAAGTGCAGGGACGATGCCTGGAGAGCAGAGGCCGGCCGGGTTTTCCAAGGCTCGGGCCACCCCTCCGGCACCGCGAAGACAAGCAGTGTCCCGGGAAGAGTCGGAGAGCAGGGCCGGGCTCCGACTCTGGGACCCAGGGCTCATCCCCCATTTTTTTGTTTTTTATCCTCACCTGGGGATATTTTTCTATTTATCTTCAGGAAAAGAGAGTGAGAGAAAAGGAGAGAGAGGAACATCGATGTGAGAGGGACACATCGACTGGCTGCCTCCCGCACGACCCCAAGCAGGCCGGGGATGAACCGCAACCGAGGTGCGTGCCCTTGGCCGGAATTGAACCTGTGGTCTTTTCACACCCTCCCTTTGAGCCCCAACCCCTCATCTGTGGACTGGGAATGGCAGCTGCGCCTGCGTGTCTGGGAGGGCTATCTTCAGCATCAAGCAGGGGCTCTCAGCTGGGGACAGTTTGGCCTCCCAAGAGACCCTGGTCAATGTCTGAAGACATTCTTGGTTGTCACGACTTATGTGGGGCGCTGCTAACGGCCTCTCGTGCTCTGGCCAGCACGCCTCTCCCGTGGGGAGCGAGGGCTAGCAGGCGTAACGCTCCTCGGCGGCGATGACGGGAGCACAGAGCCACAGGGCCGAGCCCCGGCCTCGCGGTACCTGAGGTCAGCATGTTGTTGATGAGCTCCAGGAAGCCCTCCTCGGCCACGTGGGCGTCCGTGAACAGGAAGATCATCATTTTGTTCTCGATGCCAAGCTTCAGGTAAAGGCTCTTCAGGTCTTCCCGGAAGTTGCTCTCGGAGTAGCCTCGGCTCAGAAGGATCTCAAACACCTGCCGACACGGAGCACAGCATTTGCCGGGACACCCCTTCCCCTGGTCCTCGTCTCTAGGCCTGTTCTACTTCCTCTCCAAGGAGGCAAGCTCCACCATGAATTTAGGCCCAAACTTTCTAATGTGAAATCTGGTGCCATGTATCAAAATTTTTTATAAAGCTCATACCCTTTAACTTGCCAATTTTCCACTTTCCTAAATGTGTGGGGTGGGGGCATACAGTCAAGATGGCCAGTAGGTAAACGCGGCATCGCCTCCTCCCACAAGCACATCAAAATTACAACTAAACTACAAAACAACCATCCTTCAGAACCACCTGAAATCGAGCTGAATGGAAGTCCTACAAGAAGGAATACTAAAGAAGCCACATGGAAACTGGTAGGCGGGCCAAGGCGTGGACGGGCTGGGCCCACACCCACGTGTGGCGGATAAAAATCAGGAGGACACCTCGGCTGGGAAGGTCCTCCCTGAGGACTGAGGGGTCCCCATCCCACACCAGGTGCCCCGCTCAGGGTCCCAGTGCCAGGAAGAAAATCCCCATCACTTCTGGCTGGAAAAACCAGCGGGAACTGAGGCTGAGGGAGGCTGAGGGAGGCTGAGGCTTCTCGAGCCCCAGGCAGCTCCTCTTAAAGGGCCCGTGCACGGACTTACTCAGACTTGCTCCCGACGTGCTGGCAGAGGCCCTGGTTCCCTTGGTGAGCCCTTCCCGGGGGCGGCAGACGGCCGCCATCTCTGGGACTCCAGCAACCTGGCTCACACTGGTTGCCCCGCCCTGGTGATTCCCAGAGGCCCCACCCCACCCAACTTTCAGGCCCACCCAAGCTATTTCCAATGGCTTTACCATAGGATTGGCCTGTCTTGGGTCCTGCTTTGGATTTTCCTGAAATCTGTCCAACAGGCAGCATCTGGTCTCAACAAGCCCCGTGCCTCTCACTAAGTGGCCCCAGTCCTGGCACTAGAAGCAGCCAGCCTTGGTCCACAACTTGGCTTTTCCTGGGCACCTCCAAGCCCAGCACAAGAAGCAGCCACTAGCAGATCACTTTGTAGCTTATGCCTGGTGGCCCGGGTAGAACACAGGCAGTGGCTGACCTTGCCCCAGAGCCAGCACACCCAGTGGACAGCTTCAGGTCACATTGAAGCACCACCACCCAACCATCCCCACAAGTGACGCACTCAATGAGTGGACTCAGTGGGTACCAGAGCCCTGCTGAGTAAGTCTTGCTTTGTGTAGTGGGCCCCTGCACAGGTGACCCTGCAAGGGAGTCAGAGGTTGGTGGCTAATGGGCACAGCCAGTCCTTACAGCTGATCAGCCTCAGTAAATCCCTCCCATTGACTGCCAACAGCAATCAAGACTCAATTACAACAGAAGGGTGTACAGTCCGCACTAGGGGTGCACCTCGAGGGCCTAGCTGGGGTGATGAGGGAGGCTGTGCCACTGGACCCTACAGGACACCTACACCCATAGGCCCCCCTACAGAGCCTAGGAGACATAGCAACTCTGCCTAATACAGAAACAAACACAGGGAAGCAGCCAAAATGCGGAGACAAAAAACATGTCCTAAATGAAAGAAAAGAACAAAATTCCAGAAATAGAACTAAACAAAATGGAGATAAGCAATCAATCTGATGAGTTCAAGACACTGGTTATAAGGATGCTCAGGGAACTTAAGGAGAACTCCAAGGAACTTAAGGAGAACTCCAAGGAACTCAGTGAGAACATTAACAACATAAATTTCCCAGGCAAGAAAAAACTAAAGGAGCTCATCACCACCAAACCAAAAGAGTATTACATAAAATGTTGAAGGGTCTTCTTGAAGGAGAAGAACAACAAAAATATAAACAATAAAATGACAATTAATACATATCTATCTACATTTGAATCTACAAACAAAATGAGCAAGCAGAAGCAAACAGACTCGTTGATACAGAGAACTTTTTGCTGGTTGCCAGATGGGCAGGGGCTGGGGAGATGGATGAAAAAGATGAAGGAATTAAGAAGTACAAATTGGTTATTAGACTGATGGACCTCAGGGGGAAGTAGGGAGGGAGGGCGGGATGAGATTAAGAAGTTCTACACACATATGCATAAGCAATGGACACAGACAACAGTGTGGGAAAGGCCGGAGGGGGGTGGGTTTGGGGAGGAGGGGGTCAATGGGGGAAAAAGAGGGATGTACAATGGTCAGGCGCTTTGGAAAACAATCTGGCGGTTTCTCAAATGATTAAACACAGAACTGCTATAGGACCCAGCGATTCCACTCTGAGGTGTGTATCGCAGAGAAATGAAAACATGTCGACACAGACACTTGTGCATGAATGTTTCTAAGCGTTGTTTGTAGCAGCTGAAAGGTGAGCAGCACCCAAGTGCCCCCGGTGGATGAGCAGGTAAACAAAGCGCAGTCTGTGCACACGATGGAAGACAACTGAGCCCGAAACACGGTGCAGCACTGAGTACGGAGGAACATGATACCCCGAGATGCAAGAGAAGCCTGCAAGCCACGTGCCAAGTGACAGATACTGCCACAAAAGACCACGTGACATGCTCCCACTTCTGTGAAACGTGCAGAATGGGAAAGTCGGTTGAAACAGAAAGTAGATTGGTGGTTTCTTAGGGCTGGGGCGCAGGAAGAGAGAGGGATACTGGCTACAGGGCATGGGGTTTCTTTCTGGGGCGATGACTATGTTCTAAAGCAGACTGGTGATGGTTGTATGTGTCTAGGACTCTATACTTTGAATGGGCGGACTGCACGGTCTACGAGTTAGATCTCAGTAAAGCTGGTTTCTAAGGAGAGTCTAATGGCCCAGGACTGGGCGTGCTCGTCAGACCCAGCCGTCAGCACACTGCCAACCTGATCGCGGGCCCGTGAGGGTTTGGGCCCAGCCCTCCTCCACCCAGTGCACATCACCAGCCACGGGGGCCACTTGTGTTTGACTCTCAAACTTGATGTAGTCTCCATTTCAAAAACAATGCAAGAACTAGACAGATGCTTCAAGGCACAGGTAAAATAACACTGAGCCCCACAAACGCCATGTCACACTGAACGCCACATGGACTGGTTACAGATTGCCCAACACTGCATGAACCGCCACAGCAGAGGCCGGCACGGCACACCTGCTCCTGGCACGGGAGGTCACCTCACCTCATAGCCAGCCGTGTAGGCGGCCAGCCTGGCCAGGGACTGCTTCCCCGAGCCCCCGACGCCCACCAGCAGGGCATGGCCGCGGTCCATGCGGATGATGCGGTGCACGCGCGTCAGGTGCTCCAGAGCATCGTCGAAGAGGACCAGGTTCATCCTGCTGTTGCTTTCATTGTACTCCTCAAGGATTTCCTGCATCAAAACAATTTCAAAGAGTCCCTGGGTCTCAAGAGGCAGACTCTTTCCTTCTATCCAGGAGGGGTTAAGAATGGAGGAGCCCCCTGGCCGGTGTGCTCAGCAGTTAGAGCATCGGCCCGCAGACCAATGAGTCGCAGGTTCAGTTCCGGTCAAGGGCAAGTACCTGGGTTGCAGGTTCAATCCCTGGCCCTGGCTGGGGTCATGCAGGAGGCAACCAGTCCACGTGTCTCCCTCACATGGATGTTTCTCTCTCTCTCTCGTCCCCTCATTTCCACTCTATCTAAAAGAAGCAATCGCCCTGGCTGGTTTGGCTCGGTGGTCAGAGCATTGGCCCACAGATCACAGAGTGCCGGGTTCGGTTCCCACACCTGTGTTTAGCAAATCCTCAGGTCATCCCCATGCCCCGTAGGACTGGACTGGACATGAGCCCACATTCAGAGCCCGGAGCCAGAGGCACAGGGGTTCTGACCCATGGCTGGAGGAGGGGGCCTGTGCACCTGGAACAGAGCCTTGGCGGCCTCGTAGTCCTGGATGTCCTCATAGACGCGAGCCTCATCTTCACGGAGCGCCATCCGGAAGTCCCCAAACAGGATGGGGTCCCTTAGCACCGCCTCTGCATCGCCGCTGAAGTGCTCCGTGACCAAGCCTTCTATGTGGTCTTGTACCTGACGACATCAGAGCACTTAAGGACCCAGACTCAACAATACACATGTGCTAGACACTTGTCAGGACAAAAAGTACGTGCTAGGACCTTCTGCCTCACCTCTGACTGCTTTCCCCTATTGCTACAAGGCAGTTCCCCACCCTCCTTCACCTGCTGACTGCCGCCTTTAGTGTCTATTTCCTACATAAAAGTATGTGCTAGGGCCTTCTGCCTCACCTCTGACTGCTTTCCCCTATTGCTACAAGGCAGTCCGTCCACCCTCCTTCACCTGCTGACTGCCGCCTTTAGTGTCTATTTCCTACATAAAAGTACGCGCTAGGGCCTTCTGCCTCACCTCTGACTGCTTTCCCCTATTGCTACAAGGCAGTTCCCCACCCTCCTTCACCTGCTGACTGCCGCCTTTAGTGTCTATTTCCTACATAAAAGTACATTGGTTTTTTATGCTCTTTTTTTCACCCAGAGGAGAATTCTGTGGTCAGAGCTTTGCTCTGCCAGTCGGGTCTGATGTACTGACCAGTTGCTTGTCTGCTTCGTTGATCAGTCGGTCATGGAAGACTCTCAGACACTCGTTCCTCCAGACTCTCACCATCTGGGCCACCGTCTGGAACCTACGTGATGGAAGGGGACGGTCAGCCACGACGGCATCTGGAGGGGAGCGGGCTGAGCGCTCCTGCTGCAGACGGTTCCCAGGTGCAGAGGAGGACACCACCTCTAGGCCCCTCCCTCTGGGCTCACACTAATGAGATTCAATGAAAGCTAACAAAGACCATAAAGTCATGGTCTATAACTTATCTTCCTGTAGGGAAGAGGACATTGTCTACAATAACAAATGTGACACAAAACCAGCCTCGACACTGCCCTGCGGCTGGAGGACCTGAGTCTACACCAGTATCGGGGCCGCTCTTTCTAAGAGCCAGCTCCATCCAGCCCAGATACGGAGCTTTCTCCTGTTTCTGGCAAATAGCCCTCACTCCACCCCAATACCTGGAGCTGCCCTCTCCTAAACTGCCCTCCAAACACTTCCAGGGCACCCGAGAGTCAGTTTGGGTAGGTGAAAGCCCTCAACCCATTTGCATGATGCAGACTCGTAAGGTGAACCTACGCCTGCAAGTGAACCTGTGCCTGCGCAGGTTAGAGTGTACATTATGTAAACACACGAACACGTCTAGTTTGAAAGAGAAAACCTGTGTACCCAGACTTAAACCCCTCTGTCCTCTGTGCTCACTTCCCCCAAAGACACACGTACTATCACCCATTTTAACTGGAAACAGTTCAGTCACATGAGCGGAAGGCCACGGCAGAACGGCAGAACGAAGAGTGAGAGGCCAGCAACGCTGCCCCCCGAATGGACGCACGTCCGAGGGTCCACTCTGCCCCTCTGGTCCCACCTGCCTTCAACGCAAGGGCTTACAAGGCAGCAGGCCTTAAGCCAAGCATTTAGCTCTTTTCTTCATTTAATGTAAACAGGAAGATACTGGGTAACTCCCTGGTACGCTGACCGAAGGAACTCGTCAGTCAGTCCTCTGTCTCACAAGAGCAAGAAGAGCCGTTGCTACGAGCACCACTTCGTGGGACGAAGCGAACTCACCGCTCGGGTTTCGTGAGCACCAGCCCGTGAAACACCCTGGAGAGATCGCGCAGGTTGAAGATGTAGTGGAACTTGGACGGAGTTGGGGGCAGGTCCTGCACGATTTTTGTGTAAAGCGTCAATGTGCACTGTGTTAACTTGTCACTCATGGCTGTGATGCTCTCATGAAACACCTGGGAAATGAAAAAGCCCCTCACATGTCTATCAGTGGATAAGTAGATAAGCAAACTGCGGTCCCTGCACACCAGGGAATATTACTCGGCCATGAATAGAAACGAAGCACTCACACCGCACCATGGGGATAATCCTCGAGAACATGATGCTCAGTGAGAGAAGCCAGTCTGAGGCCACATGCTGTGTGGTCTCATTCACAGGAAATGTCCAGGTTTGGAAAATCCGTGAGACAGAAAACAGATCTGTGGTTGCCAGGAGTGGGAGCGTGGTGTGGAATGACTGCTTTGGAGGTAATGAGAATACCCTGGAACTAAACAGTGGTGATGGTTGTAAACCATTGTGAATGTACTAAATGCTGCTGAATTCTATACTTTAAAATGGTTAGAATAACTAATCTTATGTTATGTGGGCTTTACCATAGTTTTTTTTGCATTTATCTTCAGATAGAGAGGGAGGAAGAGAGAAAGAGAGAAACATCGATGTGAGACACACACATCAAGTGGCTGCCACCCACACCACTCCAACTGGGGCCGGGAACAAACTGCAACCGAGGTACATGCCCTTAGCAGGAACCGAACCCGGGGCTCTCTGGTCTACGGGCCGACGCTCTAACTGCTGAGCCAAACTGGCCAGGGCACCATAATTTTTTAAGAGGCGATAAAAAAAACATTAAAAGGGAAACTCATCATCTGGTCTACTTCCTTCTCCCCAGATTATCACACTGACGGACAGGTCAGTGCCACGTGAACCAGCTCTCGGGATGAGTTTTCCTGGTATAGACCACACCGTTTTGAAAGCAAATGCCTTGAGGTGGGGCATGAACAGGCCAGGTGCCCGCAGTCCTACTGATCCCACCTGGCCAGTCCACACTTTGCCTTTCCCACCTGGCCCCTGAAGACCCGAGCATGCAAGCCCCATTTAGAAGGGAATGCCGGGGTCAGAGCGCCAGTGTTCAGATGATTGGGTTCGTTCGTGGGGGCCAAGCATTTCATCATCATAACAGCAATAACTAACTAGTCCCTAATGAGCATCTGCCAGGTGCTGGGCACTGGCCCCCACACACAACACACTCTTCTCCCCTTTCGTTCCCCCAAACCCAGCGAGGTGGGGACCATCATTTCCCCTGCTCCAGATGCGAAGGGGGCCTCGGAGAGCCCCAGGGACTCAAGGAGCAGCACAGGGGCCCTGCCCGATCCCTGCTGTGACTCGGGGCCACGCCCTGACTCCTGTGGCCCACGGTGCTCTCTGCGGCTGGGCCCCTTGCTTCACAGAAATGTATTTTATATTTTATGACTGCATGGCATAGAGACGAATACAATTTAGGGTGGATTACATTCATTTTTCCTCCTGGTTTTGCAAGACATTAAACCGCACCCACAGGCCGCTAACAGTGCCGCGAGCTGCGGACGCTGCGCCAGCCGCACCCAGTGCCCACGCGGGCCTCACGCACCCCCACGGCCCCGGAGACCCCGCCCGTCAGACTGCTAACTACGGTCTTACCGAGGTGTGGCCTTTCAGGATGGAGAAGTAAATGAGATGCAGAGACTCCTCGGAAGGAAACGGAACGTTGAAGACGTTGAACAGCGAGATGAACCTCGGGTCCACCTCATTGCGGCCGCCCCCAGCTTTCCCCATGGCGGCGATGAAGCCGAGGTCGCGAACGCTCTTGCAGTTCAGCTCCTTCCCGCGGTCGTACAGGTAGCCTCTTTCCAGCAGCAGTTTCAGCAGGGCGATGGGCTGCTGTGTGCCGTACTCGTCCACCTCGGTGTGGAGAGAAGAAAGTGATCACAACCCGAGAGCGGGGCTCAGCAGAGCCTTGGTGGACCCTCTCTCCTCGCCTCCCTCAGAGCACTCGGGGTTCAGGCCGCCGGCTTCCCCACGCTCGCCGCTGTGTGCTCCTTTGCGGTGACCCCCTCACTGGACTGTAAGCTCTGGGAGGGCAGGGACCATACACGTTTTGCTCATCACTGCACAGCACGAGCCACAGCAGGTGCTCAGTAGATGTATGTTAATTGGATGTATGGATGGATACAAGAAAGGATGGATAAACGGATGGATGGATGTACAAATAGATGAATGATAAGCGGGTATGTGGATAGACAGATGGATGAACGGATGGATGGACACTTGGATGGATGCATATATGCATGGATGGATGGATGGATCCTGGTTTTCCACAAAATCCTTTTAGAAGACAGATTTTCAGGTAAAAAATGGTTTTGTAGAAATGTATAAATTTGCCCTGGCCGGTTTGACTCAGGTTGGAGCATCGGCCTACAGGCCAAAGAGTCGCAGGCTCAATTCCAGTCAAGGGCACGTACCTCGGTTGCTGTTCAGTCCTGGCCCTGGTTGGTGTCGTGCGGGAGGCGATGGCTGTGTCTCTCTCACATCGGTGTTTCTCTCTCTCCCTCTCCCTATCTGACGATAAATGGAAAAATATCCTCGGGTGAGGATTTAAAAAAAAAAAAGAAATGTATAAATTTAAATTCCAGTACTAAGAAACTGCAACTCTCAGGTTCTGGCCCCAGAAACACACCCATCATGCACACGCAAGTCCCCCTCCGTGGGAAGTCCAGAGGAATTCTTGGGAAGAGTCTGCCCTACGCTCCCATGTTTATGGGCTGAGAACAGCGCAATCACCTAAAGTATGGTTCATCTGAAAACCAGTCACTTGGACACATGCTGGACGTAGTCAGACGCTGACCTCTGCCTGCTTTACTCTTTTGAGGAACCGAGGACACAGTCGCTAAGGGAAAAGGCCGCTGTATAGAGCGTCCCAGTGACCCTGTCTCCCAAGCTCGCTCCCATTCTGTGCCCTGTAGGCACCATACAGAAGACAGACAGGTGTTCTCACACGCGGGCTCCACGCAGCCACGCCGACACAGCACCCGCCCCGCCCTGCTGCCCGCCCCTGGGCCTCCCACTACCCTTGGCATGTTCATGTCGTCCATGAAGATCAGAAGGCGTTTTCCCATGGGGGGGCCATAAGTGTCTTTGGTTCGTTTCTCCACGTTCGCTTCTAAATTTCTCTGGATATCCAGGGATGTGGTGCGGGAAGAGAAGTTGACCATTAACACAATCTGAAACAGAAGGACGATTCCAAAAGGTGGTCTTTTCTTCTCGGTATTGGCAGTAAATGTTTGTCCATAAGCTGCCATGTCTTCTACAAATTCACTGTATCTGTACTCACGTTTTTATAAACCAATGTGTCTGCACTTCATTCTTTTTTAAGTGCTAAAGGCAGAATCACCTTTCCTGGCAGGCTGTGTGCGGCAATCGCGAGCGGCCGCATGGGAGCCTTGGGGACAACGGGGACCGGGGGGGCACCATTCTAGCGAGGTGGCCTCCAGGAGGTCATCTCACCTTCCTGAGCCTCGTGTCCTCGCTTGCAGGATGAGCATAATAAAGTCTGCTTGGACTACTCACAGGGTGCTCGCATCATGAGATGAAGCGCACGAAGGCACAGGCGACGTGACAAAGCAACATTCAAACCAAGTCCCTATCACACCCACTGTGTCTTCCTAAGTGGGTCACGAGAGCACGGCCAGCTGGTTCCATCTGTGGAACAACGGCTGAGAGGAAGGGAGGGAGACCCCAGGTCCCAGAGGGGGAGCATGTCCTCCTGCACGAGGACTCAGGGCCCCTCACTGGGCTCCTCAGAACTGCTGAGAGTCCCTGGATCAGTGACCCTGACACTAAGGTATCAGAGTCGCCGAGTGGGCTTGAGCCACACAGCGGGATGGGCCCCATCTGTCTCCAATTCGGTAGATCTGGGGTAGATGAAGCAAGTGTTCAGGAGATGCTGCTGGTCTAGAGGACCCCTGCCCAAGGTGACACCCTCCAACTAAAGCACCCCGAGTGTGCGTGCACACGAGCTGTACAGGTAGAAGCTGAATGTGACCTCCTGACCGTGAACGTATGCAGAGGGGCCTTATTGTGCCCATAAGCACCAGCGGCCGAGTCCGGGCAGAGGGGCACTATGGAGGGGCCTTCTGAACACAGCCTCCCTTTGCCTGACTCCACAAGCTTGCAGCTCCCTCTGGCTGTGAGCATCCCTCCTGTGCTCTCCGCAATGACATCCTGAGGCTCGAGCCCTGGCCGGTTTGGCTCAGCGGTTAGAGCATCAGCCTGTGGACCAGAAAGTCCCGGGTTCGATTTTAGCCAAGGGCACATACCTCAGTTGCAGTTCGTCCCCAGCCCCAGTTGGGGTCATGTGGGTGGCAACCAATCGATGTCTTTCATACATCAATGTTTCTCTCTCTCTCTCTCTCCCTCCCTCCCTCCCACTCTGTCTAAAGATAAATGTAACAATATCCTCGGATGAAGATTAAAGAGGAAAGCTCCATAACCTGTGTTTGCACCAGGACGAGCGAGCTTGGCCTCCAGGGCCGTGCAGCCCAGCCGCCCCCCCAAGGCCGCTGTGCACCAGGACGAGCGAGCTTGGCCTCCAGGGCCGTGCAGCCCAGACCCCCCCCAAGGCCGCTGTGCACCGGCTGACGCCGCCTCCGTGCGATGCCAGTGCAGACACTGACTTACGTTAGTCTCTTGGTTCATGTTTTTGAGGAAGTTCTGGGTAGTGGCCGTCTTCGAGGTGCCAGACTCACCAACCAAAATAACGGGCTGCTTAATCCTGACCATCCGCTCCAGCACCCAGGTGGTGCGGGCCGTGTCCACCGTGTGAACTGCGGGACAGATTGCGTGGGAGCGTCAGAGACGCCAGAGGGGGTTGTATCCACTGTGTGAACTGCGGGACAGATTGCGCGGGAGCGTTCGGCAACCTGGAGTTTCACAAAAGCGCATAAGCCCCATAAAAAGTGTCAGCAAAAACCTGACATGTGACCCTAAAAAATGTACGGATAGGCCCAGGCTGGTTTGGCTCAGTGGTTAAAGCATCCCCCTGCAGACAAAAGAGTCGCGGGTTCGATTCCGGTCAAGTTTTTTTTTAATTCTTTTTTTTTTATCCTCACCAGAGGACATTTTTCCAGATGGAGTGGGAGGGACAGAGAGAGAGAAACATCGATGTGAAAGGGACACATCGAGTGGCTGCCACCCGCACGACCAACCAGGGCCGGGGACAAACTGCAACCGAGGTACGTGCCCTTAGCGGGAACCGAACCGGGTCTCTCTGGACCACAGGCCGACGCTCTAACCGCTGAGCACACCGGCCAGGGCCCGGTCAAGTGTCTAATTTCCACTGCTTCCTGCGAAGAGGTGCCCTCCCCCGTGACAGCAGCACTGCGCCTGCTGCGTGCGGAGCTCGGCCCTTCCCCGTGAGAGCAGCACCGCGCCTGCTGCGTGCAGAGCTCGGCCCTTGGGGCCCCAGGCAGCCAGAGGCTCAGCAGAGCGACGTCGGTGGACACTTTTCGAGGCAGCACCTCTCACGAAACGCTGCCCCGTTTGTTCTCCTTCTGTTCGTCCCTCCCACACCCAGACAGCAGCACGGCTGAAAGGAGAGCATGGGAATGCGAGGGCCATCGGAGCAGCGTCCAGGCGCCAGACCATGGTCAGGATCGGCCTGCCCGGGGAAAGTGCCGAGTCGCAGACATCTGAAGATGCTCAGAGCCAGCAGCCTTGAAAGGAATCAAAGCGCCACCCTCGCCAGGCCGGTGGGGCTCAGTGGGCTGAGCGTCGTCCCCTGGACTGAGAGGTCCTGGTTCCATTCCCAGTCAGGGCACGTGCCCGGGTTGCGGGTTCGATCCACACTAGGGGGTGTGCAGGAGGCAGCTGATCAATGTTTCTCTCTCACATGGATGTTTCTATCTCTCTCTCCCTTCCTCTCTCTAAAAAAATAAAAATAAAAATCAATGAAAATAATTTTTTTTTTTAAAAGTGCCACCCTCTTGGCAAGGCTTCTCCCAACCAGCTGTCTGGGTGGAACCCGAGTGCCCAGGAGCAGGGGCTTGGTGCTCACTTACCCAGGATTTCGATAAACTTCCTCTCGTGGGAGTGAACGTATTCTGGAACTAAGTTACTCCATGGTATCCATTTCTTCTGTGCAGGATCAAAATGAAAGTCGTACAAGGTTGGGAGCTGACCTGCAGTGAATAATGGTCCCTCTCACTGGATCAGACATGGAAATACAGGGTCAGCTCCAGCTGCTCTAACGCTGCCTGTTCCCCGGACAGCAGCTGCACTGAGGACTGTGAACTCACACCGCTCATTCTAAAGACACTCGCTGGGCACGCTGCACGACGACCACACACTCTGCCAGGTGCGTACTGAGGACTGTGAACTCACACCGCTCATGCTCCAGACAGACACTCGCTGGGCACGCTGCTCGACGACCACACACTCTGCCAGGTGCGTACTGAGGACTGTGAACTCACACCGCTCATGCTCCAGACACTCGCTGGGCACGCTGCTCGACGACCACACACTCTGCCAGGTGCGTACTGAGGACTGTGAACTCACACCGCTCATGCTCCAGACACTCGCTGGGCACGCTGCTCGACGACCACACACTCTGCCAGGTGTGTACTGAGGACTGTGAACTCACACCTCTCATGCTCCAGACACTCGCTGGGCACGCTGCACGACGACCACACACTCTGCCAGGTGCGTACTGAGGGCTGTGAACTCACACCTCTCATGCTCCAGACAGACACTCGCTGGGCACGCTGCTCGACGACCACACACTCTGCCAGGTGCGTACTGAGGGCTGTGAACTCACACCGCTCATGCTCCAGACAGACACTCGCTGGGCACGCTGCTCGACGACCACACACTCTGCCAGGTGCGTACTGAGGGCTGTGAACTCACACCGCTCATGCTCCAGACAGACACTCGCTGGGCACGCTGCACGACGACCACACACTCTGCCAGGTGCGTACTGAGGACTGTGAACTCACACCGCTCATGCTCCAGACAGACACTCGCTGGGCACGCTGCACGACGACCACACACTCTGCCAGGTGCGTACTGAGGACTGTGAACTCACACCTCTCATGCTCCAGACACTCGCTGGGCACGCTGCTCGACGACCACACACTCTGCCAGGTGCGTACTGAGGACTGTGAACTCACACCTCTCATGCTCCAGACAGACACTCGCTGGGCACGCTGCACGACGACCACACACTCTGCCAGGTGCGTACTGAGGACTGTGAACTCACACCTCTCATGCTCCAGACAGACACTCGCTGGGCACGCTGCTCGACGACCACACACTCTGCCAGGTGCGTACTGAGGACTGTGAACTCACACCTCTCATGCTCCAGACAGACACTCGCTGGGCACGCTGCTCGACGACCACACACTCTGCCAGGTGCGTACTGAGGGCTGTGAACTCACACCGCTCATGCTCCAGACAGACACTCGCTGGGCACGCTGCACGACGACCACACACTCTGCCAGGTGCGTACTGAGGACTGTGAACTCACACCTCTCATGCTCCAGACACTCGCTGGGCACGCTGCACGACGACCACACACTCTGCCAGGTGCGTACTGAGGACTGTGAACTCACACCTCTCATGCTCCAGACAGACACTCGCTGGGCACGCTGCTCGACGACCACACACTCTGCCAGGTGCGTACTGAGGACTGTGAACTCACACCTCTCATGCTCCAGACAGACACTCGCTGGGCACGCTGCACGACGACCACACACTCTGCCAGGTGCGTACTGAGGACTGTGAACTCACACCTCTCATGCTCCAGACACTCGCTGGGCACGCTGCACGACGACCACACACTCTGCCAGGTGCGTACTGAGGACTGTGAACTCACACCTCTCATGCTCCAGACACTCGCTGGGCACGCTGCACGACGACCACACACTCTGCCAGGTGCGTACTGAGGGCTGTGAACTCACACCGCTCATGCTCCAGACAGACACTCGCTGGGCACGCTGCTCGACGACCACACACTCTGCCAGGTGCGTACTGAGGGCTGTGAACTCACACCGCTCATGCTCCAGACAGACACTCGCTGGGCACGCTGCTCGACGACCACACACTCTGCCAGGTGCGTACTGAGGGCTGTGAACTCACACCTCTCATGCTCCAGACAGACACTCGCTGGGCACGCTGCTCGACGACCACACACTCTGCCAGGTGCGCACTGAGAACTGTGAACTCACACCTCTCATGCTCCAGACAGACACTCGCTGGGCACGCTGCACGACGACCACACACTCTGCCAGGTGTGTACTGACGGCTGTGAACTCACACCTCTCATGCTCCAGACACTCGCTGGGCACGCTGCTCGACGACCACACACTCTGCCAGGTGTGTACTGAGGACTGTGAACTCACACCGCTCATGCTCCAGACAGACACTCGCTGGGCACGCTGCACGACGACCACACACTCTGCCAGGTGCGTACTGAGGACTGTGAACTCACACCGCTCATGCTCCAGACAGACACTCGCTGGGCACGCTGCTCGACGACCACACACTCTGCCAGGTGCGTACTGAGGGCTGTGAACTCACACCTCTCATGCTCCAGACAGACACTCGCTGGGCACGCTGCACGACGACCACACACTCTGCCAGGTGTGTACTGAGGGCTGTGAACTCACACCTCTCATGCTCCAGACACTCGCTGGGCACGCTGCTCGACGACCACACACTCTGCCAGGTGCGTACTGAGGACTGTGAACTCACACCGCTCATGCTCCAGACAGACACTCGCTGGGCACGCTGCACGACGACCACACACTCTGCCAGGTGCGTACTGAGGACTGTGAACTCACACCGCTCATGCTCCAGACAGACACTCGCTGGGCACGCTGCACGACGACCACACACTCTGCCAGGTGCGTACTGAGGACTGTGAACTCACACCTCTCATGCTCCAGACAGACACTCGCTGGGCACGCTGCACGACGACCACACACTCTGCCAGGTGCGTACTGAGGACTGTGAACTCACACCTCTCATGCTCCAGACAGACACTCGCTGGGCACGCTGCACGACGACCACACACTCTGCCAGGTGCGTACTGAGGACTGTGAACTCACACCGCTCATGCTCCAGACAGACACTCGCTGGGCACGCTGCTCGACGACCACACACTCTGCCAGGTGCGTACTGAGGACTGTGAACTCACACCGCTCATGCTCCAGACAGACACTCGCTGGGCACGCTGCACGACGACCACACACTCTGCCAGGTGCGTACTGAGGACTGTGAACTCACACCTCTCATGCTCCAGACACTCGCTGGGCACGCTGCTCGACGACCACACACTCTGCCAGGTGCGTACTGAGGGCTGTGAACTCACACCGCTCATGCTCCAGACACTCGCTGGGCACGCTGCTCGACGACCACACACTCTGCCAGGTGCGTACTGAGGACTGTGAACTCACACCTCTCATGCTCCAGACAGACACTCGCTGGGCACGCTGCACGACGACCACACACTCTGCCAGGTGCGTACTGAGGGCTGTGAACTCACACCTCTCATGCTCCAGACACTCGCTGGGCACGCTGCTCGACGACCACACACTCTGCCAGGTGCGTACTGAGGACTGTGAACTCACACCTCTCATGCTCCAGACAGACACTCGCTGGGCACGCTGCTCGACGACCACACACTCTGCCAGGTGCGTACTGAGGACTGTGAACTCACACCGCTCATGCTCCAGACACTCGCTGGGCACGCTGCACGACAACCACACACTCTGCCAGGTGCGTACTGAGGACTGTGAACTCACACCGCTCATGCTCCAGACAGACACTCGCTGGGCACGCTGCACGACGACCACACACTCTGCCAGGTGCGTACTGAGGACTGTGAACTCACACCTCTCATGCTCCAGACAGACACTCGCTGGGCACGCTGCTCGACGACCACACACTCTGCCAGGTGCGTACTGAGGACTGTGAACTCACACCGCTCATGCTCCAGACACTCGCTGGGCACGCTGCACGACGACCACACACTCTGCCAGGTGCGTACTGAGGGCTGTGAACTCACACCTCTCATGCTCCAGACACTCGCTGGGCACACTGCTCGACGACCACACACTCTGCAGGTGCGTACTGAGGGCTGTGAACTCACACCGCTCATGCTCCAGACAGACACTCGCTGGGCACGCTGCACGACGACCACACACTCTGCCAGGTGCGTACTGAGGACTGTGAACTCACACCGCTCATGCTCCAGACACTCGCTGGGCACGCTGCTCGACGACCACACACTCTGCCAGGTGCGTACTGAGGGCTGTGAACTCACACCTCTCATGCTCCAGACAGACACTCGCTGGGCACGCTGCACGACGACCACACACTCTGCCAGGTGCGTACTGAGAACTGTGAACTCACACCGCTCATGCTCCAGACACTCGCTGGGCACGCTGCACGACGACCACACACTCTGCCAGATGCGTACTGAGGACTGTGAACTCACACCGCTCATGCTCCAGACACTCGCTGGGCACGCTGCTCGACGACCACACACTCTGCCAGGTGCGTACTGAGGGCTGTGAACTCACACCTCTCATGCTCCAGACAGACACTCGCTGGGCACGCTGCTCGACGACCACACACTCTGCCAGGTGCGCACTGAGAACTGTGAACTCACACCTCTCATGCTCCAGACAGACACTCGCTGGGCACGCTGCTCGACGACCACACACTCTGCCAGGTGCGTACTGAGGACTGTGAACTCACACCTCTCATGCTCCAGACACTCGCTGGGCACGCTGCACGACGACCACACACTCTGCCAGGTGTGTACTGAGGACTGTGAACTCACACCTCTCATGCTCCAGACACTCGCTGGGCACGCTGCACGACGACCACACACTCTGCCAGGTGCGTACTGAGGACTGTGAACTCACACCTCTCATGCTCCAGACACTCGCTGGGCACGCTGCACGACGACCACACACTCTGCCAGGTGCGTACTGAGGACTGTGAACTCACACCTCTCATGCTCCAGACACTCGCTGGGCACGCTGCACGACGACCACACACTCTGCCAGGTGCGTACTGAGGACTGTGAACTCACACCTCTCATGCTCCAGACAGACACTCGCTGGGCACGCTGCTCGACGACCACACACTCTGCCAGGTGCGTACTGAGGACTGT